AAAAAAGCAAACAGTTTTCTGTGAGGGAACACTGGATCATTAACCCTTCTACCCCTGCACCCTATTTGTAATGCTAATAAATTAAGACATGTCATAAATATACATCTATCTACAATTTGTCTTCTAATCAAAATAGGCTAACATAAGCTGAACTACTCGCTGAACACGAGCTGTAAACTATGGGTCTATGGGCAAATGAGGACAGTGAAAAATGCACAGGAGGTAGTCAGGCACAAGGCCACATGGATCAGGGAGATACATGACAATGGAAGTCCTTGGAGTGAAGGAGAGTTGAAGGGGAAGCACAGCGAGATGCCAGAGAGTAGTTTATGACTGCTTTTATGTACACTTTATAGAACTCTTTTACAGCATTCTTTAAAACTCAATCCAGTGTCACACTTGACGTAAACCTGTCCAGCCTGACTACTTATTCTTTTCATATGATTTATATGATCTTGACATAGCATAGCATCTTTGTTTGAGGGTCAAGTGAGGACAACATAGGTAAAGTTGTGATTTTATATGAAACTTTATTCTTTAAGGCCAAAGAATCACTTGCTCTCCTCCAAGGCTATTCATTTCCAGGTTTCACAATGCACCCAAGGTTAATTCATCTTGAAAAATGAATATCGTAATTTAAATGATGATAAAACAAAAACCTTGATCTGGCAACACTGTACAATAGCAGCTTTAATTGTTTAATACATTCATGTAAAGCACTATACATGAATACTATCTCAGCAAATAACATACTAATCCCACTGGTAATGCCCTAGATATTGCCTATACTTGACAATGATCTTACTAAGGCACATCACACAATGGAAAATAAAATAACTGGTACTACCACTATTTTTTGTTCTTTCAATTGCCAGCTCTGCCGCCTAGAATCACAATGCACATTAGAAACTGAGACACCATTTATTTAGCGCGTATAAACCAAAATCGGGGAGGGGCAACACTGCTCGATTCTTAACCTTCTCCACCCGTTTACAATCACAATTCCTTTTTCTCTGCCTGTCTTCTTGCACCCATACACTCTTTCTTCATTGTCCTTCCTACCTCACGTCCACCAGCCAGGAGCAATTCATAAGCACAAAAGTCCCCATGATACTCTAAGAGAAATTGCCTGGAGCACTCCATCAGTGGTCAATCTCAAGCTTGCTGTTAGCTGGCCGAGACAACGCCACTTCCCATTTACTGATAGAATGTGGGACATTCATAGAAACATTAGTGTTCTCCAATATCTTTTCTGTTTTAGATAAAAGAGTGGGCAAAATATGGAACTATGTAATGGAGATAGGACAAACGAAAGAACATACAAAGAGGAGGGCTGTGGATAAAATGATGAAGGCACAGTGCATCAACATGTCATTTACTTATTATTAGACAGTGGCCAATACCAATTGTTTAGAATTCAGAATAACTGATCAGCCTGTGGTGTAGATTTAAGGTGTAGATTTAAGTGCGAATATCAGCCCGATATAGCAGCCAACCGATATATCGGGAACGGCATCTGATGGGTGGTCTCTGGTAGAGACCCTGGAAATTCTATTCAGAAATTCAATATTATTAATTACTATTAAATAACATGGTTATCATAGTTCTTCCATTCTGGAGATTTCACTCTGACCAAATTAAGGCAACAACAATGAAATATTGATAATAATGTAAAAAAAAGTATACACAACAATATATCAAATGGCTGTAACATTTGTTCCAGTAACAGTCAACAACTGTGGCTGTCACTCACTTAGGAAGTAGGAACTGGTAAAAAATAAGTAATATATAATATTATATATTTATAGTAACTTTTATTTTTAATATTTAGAAAACCCTGAAAAACTTTCCAGCATGAATCTATATTGTTTGCATCAAGTACAAATGCACTGCTCTTGTGTCTGTATGTTGCATGATGTCCTAAAGCCCTGATGTATTCAAAGCCGATCCCTGCTGCTGACTAGCCGTCTGTGTGCTCTCTGGAGACTGCAGAGTAGTCTACTATTTGATTAGGATGACAGTGATGTACGATGACGCTTCGCTTGTTTGCCAGATTACCAATGCATTGTACTGCCACTAAAGGATACTCATAGTAATATATTCACTAATACTCACTAATAATAATATTTTAACTACCGTACCACATTTTTCACACAGGCTAACCAATAGTTGTAGTTGTGATGCTGCTTACAAACAAAAAATTATTACGGCACAAAATTGAGGAGATTCTTGGTTGACTCTTAAGTTAAGAATAAAAAAAAAAAGGTTTGTAGGTTTTCATGCTAACAATTCAATATTACATACCAATACAAGGACCAAATAGGACCCACAGACCACCAATCTGTCTACTATGGATTTAGTATTAGTATGGCCTTCTTAGACTTTCCCATGCATCCCTGAGTCTATAAAGATATTAGTGCTGTAACCTTAACCTTCTTGAAGTCGACAATATGCAACAAATTCCTGTAAGCAGTAAAATGATGCTGGTATCAGTTGCAGTATAAACAACTGCATTCAGAGGAGCTTTCAACCATGCCATTATTATGCAATCTTATGGCAGATATGTTTAACACACTTTAGAAATTGTTAGGAATGCAATGCAAGTCGAGCATCTGGAGAGAGGTTTGAGGGAAGCCAAGCACAGAGAAAGTTAACAGGTGTCATGTGGCAAATGGAGCACTCAGCTAATTAGGAGAAATCCATCAAAGACTCCAGTCAGGAATCTAAAAGGAACATAAAATGAGAAATGTGCTTTTAGATTGAACTAATGGAAATATTCATTATAAAATATGTTACCAAATCTGCAACAGATAAGAATAAAAGAGGTATGGGGTAACTAGTGCTACCTCTTGTAAATTGAGTAACCCAATCTTTTAAGTTGATTTAGTTCAAGTATTCACCTATGCCACTTGACCTTTGCACTTTGACCAACAGACGAGGCCAATCCATCAATAAGTATTTACTTAAACCTCTAGACCTCCACCTTAACGTTATGTAAATGCACTAGTGAATAGTTTAAATTATAACCTCCGATTTGGTGAGAGAGTTAATGCTTTTTGTCCCATACTAAATAGATTAAAAGTGCGTGGTCAAAGCATCCATCCATCCCACCTGATTGATAACACTGTGCGCGTTAGCCAGGCTGCGTTGTTGCCATGAGAATGAGAGGCTGAGTTTCCCTGGCAACTATTCTTCAAAGCTGCCTCCTCTCTCCTGACTGCACTTTCACATGCTGGGAGTCGATGATGCAAGTGCAGCACAGCTAGTGTTAATGCTTACACCATTTAGCAAAGAGACAAAGACATTGTTATAACACATAATGGTGGTACATGTGTAGTAGTAGTTGAAATGAAAAACTAATCGACGTACTAGCTATAATGACAGCTTGTCAATTAATGTAAAAATAACAACAGGGAACACTAGTGTAGCAATATCTGATATAGCTAGACACTGTTTTGCAACTGGACTGGGCTTGAATGTAAACCATTTGGGGAAAGTATTTAATTACCAATTTTTTATTTATTTTTTTTACATAATTGCTTGGTTAATTGTTTGGTTTTAAATCAAGATTTAATTCAAAGAACACTCTGAAAACATGCATTAACACTGAACATGAGAGAAATGGGAATAATTATATAAGACTATATTATATGATTTGTGATTTGCTGCATCCATTCAAACTACAATTTTAATGCAAATTTTGATTTGCAGCTATAAAACAGTGATCATTTGCTATTGGCTAAAGACTACTAATTTTCAAACAGAATGAATACAAAAGTAATTTCTGGTGCATATACATGTAAAGCAGCCTACACCTATGCAACACCCTTAAACAATGTAATAAATGCATCAAGGATACAACCTGGTTAAAATAGTACCAAAAACTAAAAGATGTAGCCTAGCCTGAACTGAGTAAAGGCTGAGCATTAAAACAGTTTTTGCTTCATATTATTTTATGGTACTTAAAATAGTCTATTGTTCTATGTGTTTTCAGATTGTTGGTGCTGATGCTGTAACTCCTGTGTGGAGCTTACTAGCCCTGGTTAATGCAGTGAAGTGTTCCAGTGGGATAAATACTAGAGAAGGTAAGAATACGTGAACAAAATACAATGACAACAAAAAAGGAGAGATGGGTTAGTTAGAATGTTATTTCAAAGATAAGACTCTCAGTACTCCGTGCGCCAGGAAGTGTGAAGAAAATACATATTGTAGAAGCCTATTATGACTAAACATAGTTTGAATATTACTGGTCAGGGTTGGCACAGATTGTGCTAGTGTCTTTTCAGTGGCCAAATCCAGCCTGATCAAGAGCCAGGGCTCTAACAGGAGGCATCTTTCACTGAGGCTGAGTGGGAAGCAGTGGCCTTCGCTGCCGGCTTCCACTGTGAACCAGGTTTTGCTTTTGAGTATCCACGTGGGAACCTTACCGTGTCTGGAAGGCCTTAGTTCAACTTGTCCATTTGGACTACAGATGAGAACTGTGTTCTTGTTGCATAAGGCCAGCACTTTGCTCCACTTCCCTGCAAACTACAAAATGGAAAAGTGATTTGCAACATTGTACTTCCTAGTTCAAGTAAGCAGAACCTTGGTCTAACTGATGTTTTATTTTAATCTGAAAACTCAATGAAAAAAAAAAAATAATGAAAAATTCAGTTAGCTATAGGTTGTGTTTATGATTTACCCTACCTAATTATCACTGATTTTAGAATTAGATTCATAGTAGTAGTATGAATCTTGCAGCTCACTGTCTAAATTATGTAGCTCTAGTCTAATTAAAAATAAATAAAAAATATATGGCAACCTACTGGCAGCCATGCTTCACTACAGTGAAACTGTGAGAATAAATTGCACTTCGACCATTAGTGTAAGAACCAAATTTGGCAAAAAAAAAAAACAGACCAGAGGAGGTTGAATTGCTATTAAGTGGCAGAAAGAAGAAGTGGGACAGAGAGAAAAGCCAGGGGCTATTTTTGAGGAACTTATTCTGACGTCAGAAACAAAACAGGGAAAGAAATTAAAGCTTTTTACTGTCCTAACAACTAGGCTATATAATTATTTGCTGTACAATGACTAATGTGATGTTAGTTATAATACGCCAATAGACTGTAGACCTAACAGAGTTTATGAACATTCAGTTTGTTGAGCAGAGTTTGACTATATGCAGTGAAACCTCAATTCTTAAAATAGATGGCAGAAAACGAGAAGTGTGAAGTGGTCATATGCAGGCAGTGACAGAAAGAGCACATTTATAAAGCTAGTTTAGCCAGTGAAGTAGCTCAGTGTACCTCCACAGTGTCTCTTCGGGATCAGGGTGTCTTGGGATCCCAGTGTGTTTTTGACCTAGGATCATAATAACAGCAAGTGTACAAACAGAAGACAGGAGAGGGGACTCAAACTACTAGTTGGGCAAATCAGGTAAAAGAGATGGAGGATGAGAAGAGTTGGTCAGAAATTGATTTTGTAAAGTTGCTAACACGTGTGACGAGAACCGCTTTGCTAACTGCTAATTTCTAGGCTAAATGATTGAAAATAACCATCTATTCTGTCTGTCTGTGTAAGTTGTGGCATGTTTTCGATTAGTAATTGAGTAACTGACCGTAGCATGTGTGAAATTATGCTAGCTCCACATCTTCCCAAGAGTCTCACATCTTCCGAGCATCACCAGGCCAACAGTATCCAAGCAACCATCCGGCCAGCTCTGCCTCCATGCGCTGCGGCAGACGTGCATACACGTGTCGGTGTGTGCCATGTACTTGCGTTTTGCGATGGCGTGTCACCTGAACGGCCTTCGCTTCATAGGCCCCAGAGATCCATGCCTAGATCTCAGCTTGACATGGCGTTTGCAAACATCTTCGTTTAAAAACAATGTATTAAGCGAGGTATCCGTGTAATAATAGAAACAGAGAAGCAGGTGGTCGAAAGTCAGGAAGTGGTTGACAAGTTGCTTTGCTTAGGTGTTGTCGTTACTAGTCTAGACATAAGATAATTACCTATGCAAAAAATATACATACATTATATCCTACTATGCTGTATTTGGCAAATTTTTAAAAAAGGATTTGTCTTACTGCATTTTATATAGGGTGACCAGATGTCCCTCTTTACCTGGAACAGTCCCAGTTTTGAGCGCTGTGTCCCCTGTCCCAGCATATTTTTACGAAACCAGTGTTTTGTCCCAGTTTTATACAAGAAATGTCCCAGGTGTCCCTATTTTTGACCACTTTGATCTAAACCAGGACTAAAACAGGACTATCACAATTTTTGACTAATCAGAATCTTGCCGACAGTAACAAGGAGCATAAATTGTCATTTGTTTAACCCAAATACAATTGTGTATGTAAATGACAATAAAGCAAAAAAAAAAAAAAAAGCGTCAGAACAGTAGTCCCTCAGATTATGACAGACGCAAGAATGCACAATGTTACACTCACCCTAATCCTGGTGTCCCAGTTTTGAACTTTGAAAATCTGGTCACCCTAATTTTGTACATTATAGTAGACAGTAGGCTACTTTCTGTTTAGACACCTGAGTGCTGCCCTCTTCTGGTAACAGAGAGGAATAGAAAATTTTTACTTTTTAACTAGCAGCAAGGCTATTGTCAAAATAATGCTAGTATGCTTTTGAAGTTCATGTAATAGGAACCCTGTGTAGCCCATTGACTGTACAGAGATTAAGATGTAAACTTCTACTTCATAGATTCCCACGCAGCCATCTCAGCCTCTGCGCAGTGTAAATCTAGCCTGTTCTTCCTCCTTTTCTGTGTGTGCTGCATTGCAACACCTATTCTTGCTGAGTAACAGTAATAGGGCCTGACTTTCTTCACAGACTGAGGGCATCTTGTGAACATGTTAAAGTCGACTGTGAATCATGCTGAGAAAACTGATTGGTCAGGCAGGCGTGCTAACCTATCACTCAGAACAGTACAGGAAATGAAACTATAGACCATCAAGACTACTTTTAGAACTAGACTCAAGCAATGAAGTGGCATGTTTAGCAACTAAACTATCACCGTCTAGGCCTCAAAATAGGTAAGGGTAAAAACCAACAAAACACAAATAATTTTAATAAAATGTAGATAAAACAGTGGAGCTGAAATACATTTTGTTTTCATATGCACAGCTGAATTGAAACTAGATTTTAACATTGTCAGTGAGAAAGCTTAATTAAATTTTTTTTTTACATTTTGAAGAAGGCTGTTTCCAGGTTTTAGCTGCATAACTGTGACTGTTTCAAAATGATTCATGCTTATACAACTTTTCAGGTGAAGTGAAATTTTACTTTTGCAAAAAATGTGCCATTTTCTACCAGTATTTCATTTTGGCCACCATAATGTGCAGTGTAGTGTGTCATCTCTTTAACACCATTCTTGCATCTATAGACTGCTGTATTATGAAAAGCATTAGGGGAGAGGAGTCCATACATAGCAGGTTGTAATTGGTTTACTATACCACTGTAAATGCATTACGAACCTTGGTGCATTTCAGTGACTCGCACAGCAGGCTAAATGTCTTACTACTATCTATACTACTATCTACTAATCAAATACAGCTGTATAGTACATAGATATGAGGAAAATTTTAGACATAATGCATTAAAAGCAATATGTCTAGATTTCTGATCTATGTTATGGTGTGGTTTCTTCGTCCAAAATACATCTAGAGTTTTGTTTTGTGTCCTTCACACATGTTTAAAACATACAAATCCTGCATATCTGGGCAGAGTTCTTCTCTCAAACAGAAAGCACTGAACTCTGTTTCACCCTGTAATGTCATGTGGGGATAAGTGCTCCACTGTGTTTTAAAAATCCATTCACCTTTGGATGATTTCAGCCCTGGAATGGCCTATCTCTACAGAATTATAGCTATTAACTTGAAAACTATCACTGCATGACATCACAAGGTGGAGCAGAGCATTTTGAGCTTTGGAGATGTAGACAGACTAAGAATAAAGGATTACTGAAACATATGTGAATGAAACAAAACACAATGCCAGATATGCTTTTCAGGAGGTAACAGCATGATATCATGGCTTAAAGCTCACCAGTGTAAATTATGTGTAATATAGAACAGAAGGGTAGCAGAACTGGGGGTAATTACACAAGTGCATATGGGTATAACCAAACCTGCTGTGCCACCTGTGTACATTGTAGTGTACTGTTACTGTGAGCTGCCAGGTCCTTCCCATTGTATGCATCTTGTTGTTCTCCTCCCTGTCCAGGTCGCCAGTCATGGGGAACCTCATTAAGGTCCTAGGCAAGGATTTAGAGAACTGTCCACATTTTTTCCTGGACTTTGAAAGTAAGTGGGTGCGGGTTGCATGCACGTTGCCGTATGAGTGTGCCTGCCTGCCATGTGAGTGTCCATGTGTGGGCAGTGTTCAGTGTGAGGCCAGAGAAGGTGCGCTGGTATGTGGGATACAGGGAGGATGGGATATGGAGGAGAGTGTGTGGGGGTGTGGCTTGTCGTCATGAGAACCACTGTAGTCCTAGTACTGCTTTGCTTTGGCTGTAACATTATAGATTATACATTTCAGCATCTCCCAGACTAAGACTAATAAGTAAACAATTAAATGTAGAATCATTGAGTTGTTGTCTTAATTTGTATTGGAGTTTAGTCTATCATGGAGATATTTAATAAGAACAATATTAGCTTTCACCGAATCAGATAAATATAGGGTGGTTGGTTGCTCCACTTCTTCCTCTTGTCTCTCCGTTTCTATATAATTTAATGATAAATAATTAAGCTTTAAAATTGTGTAGTTTAATGTCTCCAAAATTCCTCTGTACACTAATCTAATAATCTTTTTTTTTTTTGTGAATACTTAATTTGTGATGTAATGAATATCTAATCACAAGACTACAGTGGCTCTGAGTCCATGCAGCCATGCCTCACCACACCTCTCATCCACACTGTTCTCCCATCGTCCACATCCGCTCCTCTGCCACACTCACTCCACATGCGCACATAGAGTCGTGCACCGCCCAGCTCCATCCCTCATCGATCACACATACATTACATATTTGTCCCCTCTTTGTTTTCCAGGGGGCTCATGGGAAACCTCCTGAAAGTACTGACTTGCACCGAACTTGAGCATGGCCCAATAGTTTTCCTTGACTTTGAACGTGAGACCATCCGCTTCTTATTTTTTGAGTTCTCCTCACCTGTCCTTTGCTTTTTGCTTTATTTTCCCTTCTTTCTATTGCTGACCATTGTGTCTTTGTGTCCTTTCCATTCTTCATTTTGATTCCTGCCCAAGGGACTGGCAATTGAAAGGCATTTGGTTTCTTGAATAAACAAACACATAATAGCGTGAAGATGAGAACTATAGTGCCATGATCTGGATCTCCATTTGAAATAAAGAAAATAGGAAATGACAGATGCCAGTCCTTTGAGGGTAGTGCAGATCAGGGATGATACTTTGTATTTTCATCCGCGCTCATGGCTCATCCCATAGAGTGTGACGTATTGTGTCTGTCCAGTATATAACCTATGCCTTTCTCTGTTTCCTTTGTTAATGTGAAAAAATATTTGACACTTTAAAGGTGCACTATGTTACTTTGCTGGTGGACTATTTTCTACCTGCTTGTCTCAGTTGAGATATTATTGCTTTACTGCCATATTTCATAGTATGACATTAAAGTAATCTCCATGGAGACAAGCAGATGATGTCACCAAGTAGCAGGCCATGTCTGTGAAGAGGTGACCCTCACTGTAAGAATGCATGTTTTTGAAAATATTTTTTAGCATTAAAAGGCAAGACTGGCAAATTTAATGCCATACTATGGATCATTCCAGGCCAAGCACTAACATCTCTTTGGACACAAGGAGGTAGCTGACTCCCCACTAGAACTAACAAATACAGAAATACACAGCACATCATACTGTAACCATGTAATGAGTCACATTACAAATGTTTTTGTATTTCAAAGTTAAACATTTTTCAAAGTGAAAAACAATTTTCTAATAATTCCTAATATGAATTAGTTATTCCACCTATAACCACAACCACATAACCGCAGGAGATAGTAAGTTACCATGTGGGATTTGGTGGTCTTGCAGCACCACTGGACTTTCCAAACCTCAAAAACATAAAATAACATCTGATTAGTGTTAATAATATGGATAAAAGCAGTACAATCTGGCAATGGGAAATAAACATTTTACTATTGGCTCCACATTTCAATGATAAAAAATTGTATGTAACTAATAGATGCAATTAACTAAAATAAACTTTCCCAAATGTCTTTCCAATTATTTTTGTGCTATATATTTTGCACTGCATCTGTAATTCTCACCTTTTTTCCACTCTATCCTAATTGCTTCACTCTTCTTTACCTACTGTTGAAAACATGAGGGAGAGCTCATAGCTTGTACATCCAAGCTGCTTAAGATTCTCCTTTGTTTCATATCAGTGACTTCAAAAGCCAGTGTGATGAGTCAGGGGCAGGCAGTGCAGCTCCTCACCCCATACTCCCCCACACCCCTGTACCATCTGTGAGCTCTCCCCCACCATAGACAGTGCAATACAGTCACCTTTATGACACAGAGCAAAGTTTGTGCTAACTTAACATGCCACAAGGTTATAGGATACATAGTCTAAAAGGGGATATAGGGGATATGGAGGCAATTAAAAAAAAAAAAAAAACTTAAGTCATAACAGAAATTATACTTCCTCCTGAGCTATTTTTTTCAAGTATGCATCAGCACTTAACTCACATTATAATATACAGTGATATGCATGTTGGTTTGGCATGAGATGACTCTTCCATTTACACAGGCTTGGGACCATCAGAAGGAACACATTTAGCTTGCGATAGCAGTGATTAACTGATTAATAGGTTGCTTTCATGAAACATTACAGCTCATTAAAAGCTGTTAATCTGGTTTATGAACATTTTATTACTGGACCTACTCATATGAAACAAAAACTTTTTTTTTTGTTTAACAATTATTCTGTTGAAAAGAATGAATTGCTGTCAGTTGAAATTACTTCAAGCCACAAGATTAATATGGCAAGTGTGTGGAACCAGTCCAAACAAATGCAACAAATTCAAGGGGCAACTTTTGTAATTTAGAGATGATCTCAAAAACAGTGAATTTCTCATAGAGTTTTGCACACCCCTGTCCTCCCTCCCTTATTCATTCATTTACAAAAATATTTTACAAGTACTAAAAAGTGTATCATATTTTTCAAAAGCAAGTGTTGTTTTTGTGCTTGGCCCAATCCTGAACAATGGAAATGATCCTATACCAAAAATACATGCATGTCACTGTATGTGAGAATGCAGGCATTTTGTTACCCCTGTGTGGCAAAGAGTGACTAGAATGTCTCTTGAGATATTATCACTTCTTAGTCATGTGACAGATGTCTACTTCTCTATGACCTGACTGTTAACCCAAGTAAACTAACACAGAAATGTGGACTTTGCAGCCCTGGGTTATCTGGTTTATCTATGCTAAGGCCTTTCTGATTATTCTGCCCAGTTGACTAATTTACAAATTTATCTTATTTTTATTTACTTCCCCAAACACCCCATCCACCCCTCCCCTCTTCATTTCCCTTCCCGTACCTCACTCTTTCACTTCCCTTTTTCTCTTCTTCCTTGGCTCTTCCTCTTTTGGGTTTGCCTTTTCCGACTCAGATGCACAGCCCACAGAGGCGGAGACAGCCGTGTATAACCAGGTCAGCGCGGTGCTGGAGGAGGCTCATGGGATACTGGCCGAGCTGCAGTCCTATAATGGAGCAGGCCAGGAGATACGAGAAGTGAGAAAGATGCACAAACACAATTACCACAGCTAAAATCAGTACACTGTCAAGAGAGGCTAGAGATGGAAAATAACTTTAATGTGTTTAGTAAGATGTATTTGAATGGGTGATGATAAGCTGCATGACCCAATTAAAAAGTAAAGTAGATTATACACATTTGATATTAATCCTATTCTAAATTTGGATTTGTTAATTAACTAATATTATTTTTATGCAGGGCTTATTAACATATGATTTAGTTGCTAATAGAAGGAAAGAGTAGTATGCATATGGTAACAACAATTAATCAGAATCAGTGAATCTAATACCAAAACTACTTTTGGCTCAATCTGTCAGTCTTACTGAGTATTTAGGGTGAAAACATTCAAAATTAACATCCTTTTGTTTTCAGGCAATACAGAACCCAGGTGACTTAGCTCTTCAAGAGAAGGCTTGGAATGCAGTCTGCCCCCTGGTGGCTAAACTTAAACGCTTTTATGAGTTCTCACTCAGACTGGGTAAGTAGCTACAGACCACAAAGAATTTCCTTCTTTAGTATGCATGCCTCCGTAAGTAAGCGTTTTGTTTTGTTTCATTTTTGTTTCATTTCATTTGATGACGTCTTTAAAACTGCAGAATAATGAAGGAAAGTGTAAGTGCCAGACATGTTCAGCTGTGTGTGGTTGTCACTGGTTTCTATTTCATTACATAAAACAGACTGCTTTGAGTCCTCGGACATCTGATAGATCTTGCCCTTACACTGAAACGTTATATACAGTATCTCCACAGCCTTCTATAACACTTCTATTACTCACACCACACTATTTTCTCAGCCATCTCTGCAGCATCCTAAACGGGTAGCCTGGCAGCCGTTGCTAAGGAAACAGTGGTACATGAATGTCCAGCACAGTGTGAGACAGAGAGGAGAGATGTTATGGAGGCTTGCTTTGCTGCTTTACAACAAAATGTTCTTAGTGTACATCAAGGCTAACAAGTATTTAATGAAATCAGTTATAATAAATAAATAAATAAATAATATTTGAATTTCTAGTGCAATCTAAAAACAAATTAATCAATGTTTAAAAAGAACAAAAAAATCTATTGTGATTTTAGCTATTTGTTTGTATCTTGTCTATTTTCCTTTGCGGGCTAACAGGTAATACTAGCCCAGTGTTGTGGTAGCCATGGCTTAACAAACAGCAGGAGAAACTGTGGGGTTTCTACCCAAGGCCTTTAGATGAAACAGCTGAGCACTGTATTTATAGAAGGCCTAATACAATTTTAATGCAGAGGAAGGAATGGCTCCTCAGGGGACTTTGCTACAACACACAGTCAGTGTTTTGTTGAGAGGAGAGACAGGTCCAGGTCAGAAGGGATGTAATATTTGGACTTTTCTGTCTAGTAAAAAACATAAATTCATAATGAGGCGTTTTTGTATATGATTTACAGCCCATGACCCGTAGTGCGCCTATAGAGTGTAGAGGAATAAATTAGTAAATAACAGGTGATTAACATTGCAGATTTTTTATGTTTTTGTGTTATCAGAGAATGCTTTGCGCAGTCTGCTGGAAGCCCTGACCAGCCCGCCCTATGCTCCCATGCAACATCTGGAGAGAGAGCAGGCTCTAGCTAAACAGTTTGCAGAGATCCTTCATTTCACACTCAGTTTTGACGAATTAAAAGTAAACACAACATTTCAATCACAGACAGTTTGAGAATTTGAATTGTAAGCAATCATTAATTAATAATTAAAATATTTTTACAGATGACAAATCCAGCCATTCAGAATGACTTCAGCTACTACAGGAGGACCATAAGCAGAAATAGGCTGAACAACCAGCAGGTGAGGCTTTGTATAGATGAGTTGATATTGAAAGGGCATAAAAATTATGAGAATTATGAGCATATATTTTGTTTGATTTTAGCTTGAAGCAGAGAATGAAGTAAATAATGAGATGGCCAATCGGATGTCCTTGTTTTACGCTGAAGCCACGCCCATGCTCAAGACTTTGAGTAATGCGACAACCAAGTTTGTGTCAGAGGTTTGTTTTTAACTACACTTGAACATCACTTATTTCTTATGCTTAAATATGAGTAAAATTAGTACATGTTCACTAAAGGTTAAACTAAACATGAGTTTACCTTTCTGATGTGCTTTGCCTCCCCCTTGTGGAAATATTTTGTCATAAATTTCTTCTGTATGCTTCAGAACAAGACCTTGCCTATAGAGGACACCACAGATTGCCTGAGCACCATGGCATGTGTGTGCCGTGTCATGCTTGAAACTCCGTGAGTACACATTATTTATGTGCTAGCCTCCCTGTTACTAAAAATAAAAATAAATTACCTGCAATTCAAAGAAAAGAAAGAACTGATGACCTCTACTTTTCACTATTACATATTCATTCATTAGGTGAATGTGAATGTCATTAGGAAAAAGCTAATATTGTGAAGAAGTGCATATATGCTGACAAGTGGAGATTAGTCCTATAATAATATTATGTTCTAATGTTATGTTCTGTAGGGAATACCGCTGCCGGTTCACCAACACAGACACTATGTTGTTCTGTATGAGGGTGATGGTGGGTGTCATCATTCTCTACGACCACGTTCATCCAGTCGGCGCTTTTGCGAAGACCTCCAAAATCGATGTAAGTTGACACTTTTGTCTAATTACTACATTATTCAGTATGTTATTACTTGACTTTATCTGAAATTATATTTTTTATAAAATAATGGGCCACTTCAAAAGTACTCCTACTCCGATTACTACGTTTATTGCACTCTGTAAAGCACTTTGTGATTTTTATCTGTGGAAGGTGCTCTATAAATAAAGTTTAATTACTTATAGTTATGGTGGTAAAGATATGTCTCCCTATCACCAGTGTCCATGAGTGGAAATTATTATTGTATATTGTATTGTTATAAAAGGGTGGATTCTTTTTTGCCCCCATTAGATAATCAGATAATATTTTTGCAGACCATCAGATATGCCAAAATGTGCTTGTAAAAGTATGAAAGATGATACTGCAAATTTCAGTAATTTATATTTTATACTGTAGTATTGGATGCATTGTATTTACTTCTATTGTTATGACTCAGATATATAAGGGAAGACTGGGTTAAACATTGAGGTAAGTAAGAAACTGTGTTTTTGCAGATGAAGGGCTGCATCAAAGTGCTGAAAGAGCAACCATCCAACAGTGTAGAGGGCCTTCTCAATGCGCTGAGGTAAGAAAGCATAGACACATACAACAAAAGCATAGAGTCAAAGAACAATGCAAACATTTGAACATGTTTCTTTTTTGTAGGTATACAACGCGACATCTAAACGATGACAGCACCTCAAAACAAATCAGGGCCCTTCTGCAATGAGGAAGGAGAAGAGAGGACAAGAAGATGAGAGGAATGATGCACTTGGAGAGGGGAGGACGCTGTTACAAGTGGCTGAAAAATCTGTTTACAAAGAAGTTAAATTATCCCCAGGATAGAAAACTGATGGTAGTGAGAAGAAGAAACAAATTATATATATTGTTGGCTGTCCATCATCCTGTCTCTCATTTTGTAAAGTAAGAAAAGAGAAAAGTGTCAGAAAATAAAGTATAGATATTTATTGAAATGACTAAAAACAAGACGCAAAATAGATAGGACTTAAAGAGGAAGCTATATTGCAAAATTTAAGGTTGGAACAACATGTTTAGAAGAGTCGTTTTCCAGCGGTAGTTGAAATATTTTTGCACACACTTTGAAAACATTGCCATCTGTTTCTCTAAAATTGGATTGTAAATGAACACCCTGAGCTCCTGGTTTTGCCTTGTCCCTCCCGCACACTTATTCTAAAGGAGCTGATCTAGCACCTTTATGTAAGTACAGTTTGTAGTGTCGTGGAGGCTACACTGATGTACCAACAGGTAAATAGTGAAGCAATGTGATGGATGCACTCCGGAGATTTGCTTCCGCCTACTTTGATTTCTTTGCCACATTGGTGCAGGTGAATATTGCAGGGCACAAGCTGATTAAAAAACAGCCCATCATGCTTACATAGCTCCATTTGACCACACCCCCATTCACCCACGGCATACAGTACTCATGGTTTTATCAGGAACGTAGTCTGGCTGGCTTTACTTGAACATCAACTTGTCCCATGGTGCTGAAGTGGCTTAGAATCTCCAATGTCTGTTTTTTAGACTTTACAATACAGCAACCAATGTACAAAGAATGAACCAAGAGATTACTTACCGATTCTAGTCCCACTTTAGCGCACAAATGGATGTGTTTTGAGAACCCATAGCACACTTACTTGATCACACAGTGCCAAAGTTGAAAGGTCAATGCTGTTAAATGAAGCAGCTGATAAAGAGGAGTCACACTGAAGTAATCAGAAGATATCACATAAGAGACTTTATTATTGGCTTGGGTGTGGAGAGCAAATATCAAAACATGTGGAAAGTGGTAAAACAGGAGTGATCTACGATATGATAAATGAATCACTGGATGTCTATAGCCCTTAGTCTAAATTATTTTATCTTATATTTTCTACACAGGAGTATGTGCTCAAGCAAGTCTGTATAAACCTATAGATGGCATGTTCTAAAAGTCCTGACAGTGTAAATAAGGTGTTTTTATCATTTTTAATTGTTCAGTGATGCTGAAATTGGGTACGTGTCGTCTCTCAGAATTTACCATGCGTTTGGCTTGGACCATCCGAATCGCCATAGTTTCAGAAATTCTGCGCCATGATGAATGAACCAAAGGGAGGGAGGGGCCTGTGGAGGAGGAGGTGTCATTTGCTTGTTATTTTGTACATTTTGTGCAACAATAAACATCATTTATTTCAATGAGCTGTTGTGTTGTGTCTATTGTGATTGGAGGCAGACAAAATAGAAAGAAATTAAGTGTAATTAAAGAAAGTTGAGTAATGAATTAGGCCAGATATGCAACACTGACAAGTAAATACCAAAAATATAGAGGGCCTATTACAGTAAACAAAGTGCAATTGTATTTCAGAGGATTAAGTGGCCTTTTACAATACAAAAAAACAAACTGTTGGCAATATACATGGACAATTAAGGAACCGAGCAAGACAAAATAGTAGCCTAAAGAAATGTGTGAGGATAAAATACAAAAGCTGAAAGTGAATAAATGAATGTACAAAAATGTCTGTAATTATTTAGGCGTGCTGAAAAGTGGCTATGTGGCTCAGGCCTAATAATGCATATATGGATGACAATGTGTAGATATTACCAGAAGAGGGCAGTACAATGTTACAGATAGACAACTGGTTACTAGTGCCCATTCTTACTCTTACAGCATTACTGCATCATTAATTGAAAAAAGAAATCATAACATGATACAGTGTAATTATACATAGACCACCTGTTCATAGTGTCTATTTTTTAATTAAAGTCTGATGCAAGTCCAAGTCCACATGGCTGTAGGTACCAACAGTCATAATGTGTGAAAGGAGTAAAGTAGGGCAGGGGGACACAGGAGACACTTGAGGTATAAATATGGAATCCTGAGCAGATTCTGGACTGTTTTAGGCCAGAGATCTTACATGATCTTTCTCACACACACACAGACCCACACACAAATAAAATATGATGTGACAAATGTAAGTACACCTGTTATGTCTATTTCAGTCTGATGGCCTGGGAATATTTTAAAATTTCTTATCAGGGCATTATTATTTTGAGAAACAGAAAAAATAAGAGTGTTTTAATAATGCTATACAAGGTTGTGTGGATAATTGGAAATAACTAGGGTATATGCCATTTTCTTTACAAATCATCACTATATATTGTTCGCTTACATATTAATTTTGGGTGCTATTTAGAACTTTCCATGTACAATTTCATTCATCAGCAATAGTCAGTTTGTAGCATAGGGAGAAATGTCTATTCTTTCCAATAGTCTATCTCCATATTGTACAACCTAAGATGTGCAATGATTCAGGAGGGTGTGTATTATGTGCACAACAGCTGCTTTTGGCTGATTGGGCATAATGTTACACAAGATTGCATAACTGGAGTCAGTGCTCCTCACACTGCTTTTCACAGACTTTTCAGTACAAAATAAACGCAACTTTACCCAGTCTATCACGGGCATGTCTGGTTAGTGTTTATACAAAATTAGACACTTGCATCACTGTATTTTGTTTGCCTTTGGGACATTAACAGTCATCAAATAAGGAACCAACTGCTTCCCCAAAAGAATGAATGGAATCAGAGATAAATTACTAGTTACAATTTAAACCTCCTAATGGGAAAGTAAAAACAGATTATAATTCAAAACAGTACACAAATGGACACACATAGACAGTAATCAATTTAAAGATCCAAAAAGAATACTTGGGATTTTCAGACACAAATTCTCCATTAACTCATGGCTTGGACATACAGATCAACTATGAGCCGTTAACTGCCCCAACACAGAGTACACCTTATCACCCTAACTGTGTGATATGGACCAGTGGTTTCCCTCCATTCTCTTCCCTTCCCGCTTCGCATAATAATCTCTCTCTATTCTCTATAACCGTTGTCATACGCTCACCACTTAAACAGAGTTAAGAAATACAATAGACTGTTGTCTGCATGTCACATAATGTAAATGAGTCACTATTGTTATCAGTGCAGTGTAGTAAGCTATCCATCGGTTTCAGAATGGAAAGTTAGGACTGTTGCCATCATAATAAATAAAATAAAACAAAATAAATAAAATAAAATAAATAAATTCTGTTAAATGGGAAAAAAGTTTTAAAAAGTACTAATTGCAAAGACTAATTTGCAATGCTGTCTAAAAATTTAGTTTTTAGTTGTACAAAAGGTTTTATCTATGATGAAGTGTGAAAAAAATACAGGTTAATTTTGGATGTTGTTTTAGAAGATTTCTCATTGAGGATTTGTGTCCTGTAGGGTCCATGTACAATTTATTTCAACAGCAATAGGCAATTTGTATCATGGAGGATATGTCTATTCCTTCCATTCATTAAATGTTTACATTAATGAAAAAGAACAATTTAGTCCAGTTATAAAAGGTGATATGCAAGTCCTTGCAAGCCCTGGAACTCAACGTATTTTGTAAGTTAACAAAGTATATGCATTTTACTTTTTAATTAACTATTCAAATCATCTTTGTAATACATTGAGACTTGGGTACAAATTGCAACCGAATGCATCAAAGTGAGAATCAGTGCAATAAGCGGAGGGAACACTATGACAACATGTAAATTATATGGTGAATGATTTGACCCTCTGTTTCTAAAAAGTGTGCACATTGAAAGACTCCATTCAGTGTACAAGAGTTCTTTGTTTGCAACTGGTTCAGGAGGGTGTGTATTATGTGTACAACAGCTGCTTTGGGCTGATTGGGCATAATGTTACACAAGATTGCATAACTAACTGGAGTCAGTGCTCCCCACACTGCTTTTTGCAGACTTTTAAGTACAAAATTAAAGCTATTTTACCCAAGCTACCACGGGCATGTCTGGTTAGTGGTTTATGCAAAGGGTACAATTTAGATTTGTGTATATTCATGAATGTCTCTGAAGTGTGGGAGGAGGGAGGATGGCTAAAGAAAAGAACATTAAAAGGCTACTGACCTAAGAATTTAAGCCACAACATCCTTGGTGAAGATTAACCACTCTGCCACATACTTATTACAGCAAAATGAATGGAGAAGAAAATAGAAATGTAACAGCAGCTTCGAAAGACTGTCGTGGAACTTTGGCTTTAGACAACATAAAACATAATATTATAGTTCTAGCCTTGATCACTAAACTAAACAAAAAAATATTTACTTACAGAATTATTCAACAAAATTTTCTCCCGAAAAGTTTCCGGTCAGAAAATCACAACATACACAGCAAAGAACCTAGTCAGATTTTCAGCGTCGGCTCTACACTGCAGCATTGAAAGCGTTAAGGGGGAGGTGCCCAGTCCCGCCCCCTTGTCTGCTCATTTGTATATCAGGCGGGAAGGCTGTATCCCTTTATTGCTGCCATAGAGCAAGGCCATGGCCACTCCCACCAAGCACTGCACTGGCGGGAAAAGGTGCTGAGAATAGAACAGACTTACAGTGACACACACACATTGTCTTTGTCTTGAATTTAGTAGACGCTAGAGAATTGCAAGAACAAAACTGAGCATTGCTTTATATGGGGTGGTAGTTACCTTTTTCCTGTCTAAAGATGAACTTCTTAGTGGAGGCCATGAGCATGAATTATTAGGTTAAGAGGAATACTGAAATTATAGGATATGTCTACATACAATGGCATTTATTTATCCTTTTAAACAAATAACTTCAAGGGCAAGAACGAAAAGGAGCAATACAATGGACTGTGTTGTGTATACATAGTGAAGTGTTGCCCTGGGAAAGAGTTCACTGGGTTGCTGGAAAAAACAGGAAGGAATGTCATGCTCTGGATTGGGGAGGGTCTTAAAAAAAAGAAAAAGAAAAAAGAAAAAAGCAAGTTAGCAGCCCCATATTACATAACTCAGGAAATATATATACAGTGAGGCACAGTGAGTTGGATAGGAATGGGACAAATACAAAGGCAGACTTTCCTTACAGGCCTATCACATCGAATCACATCTCACAGTCTCTCATCATCCCTGAATAGCTGTTTTGCAACTTGGGGAGCCAGACAGTTGTTCAAAGTGTGTGAGGGAAATACCGCAGCTTCTTTGTGAACTGGATGAACCCTCTTCATATAGACGGCCATTAATAAATAAAAGATAGGGGAGTGTGCCAGGATGCAAAGATTACATTATAAACATCTTGCTGAAGGGGAGGAGAGATCTGAGAAGCTTATCCCGAAATGACTGTGAAATATAAGCAGAGGTATGTATAGGGGGAGAGCAAAGCTGGTAGTGTTTTTAAGGACAATAAGAGGACACCAGCAACACATAACAAAACAATAGAGTGTTGACCTGAAGTGTCACACCTGACCTGAGTGTTATGGTTCCCATATGGTTACGTAACAGCAAGGCAACTGCCTTTATGAGCTTCCAAGTAACTCTAGAAGAGAAGAAAGAGAAGGTTATATGGACTGGCTTAGTAGTAAACCCAGGTTACCTTAAGAGCAACATGCACAAAGGGATGAAACTGAAGCAAGCTTTTTGGTGAAAGTACGGATCAGCAACTAGTAATGGAATATGATGGCAAAACAATACCATCTAAAATAAAATAAAATAAAAACAATAAAAACAAGCTTGGGTAAATAATGTCCACAGTTTTTATTTATTTATTTATTTTTTACAAAAACCCCTTTTACAAGAAAGAATGACTCTGTAAAAGCATCAATGTCTGAGGGTTTGGGTTTCCACCACAAACAAAATGGAGAGACCTTCACATTCTGCATATTTGAGATTAAGAGTCCCTGTGATGTCTACACTGTGATTCCTGACCTTCTTCCTATCAGCAGAGACAGTTGTGTTGTTAACAAAGCATTTGTGGCACCATCTTTGACTACAACTGACCCTGTTTGCTTTGCCTCTGTACGTAGGTGCATGCCAGCCAGTTTTTTAGTCTCGCCAGGTCCAGATGGCAGAGAATGTTTAGTCAAATGGGATTACAGATTAGGATTAAGTGGACTTCAAATTAGCCAGACGCACAGTCACTGGATGACACACTACTACAACAGAAACAACTAAAGGGGGCGAGGCTCAAACAAGTTCAAAAGCATATAAACAAAAAAACATGTTTTCAAGCAAGAAACAAGGTCATTGTTATTTAACCTGAACAACATTCAGTGCAGTTAACCACCTCAAGAATAACAATAATACATGTGGGTTAAGCAACCCACAGTGAGGCAGAATGGAAATACAGTTTTTTTTTTACTATAATATTTGAATACTTATTACTACATATCAACGCAAAAACAAAAAATATATTTTAAGAAGTGAATTAAAACTAGTCTGGTCAGCTACATTGTCTGTATATTGTTAGATAATAGAGGCAATAGAATCAGTGGCAGAGGGCAGTGCAGAAGCAAAGTGGTCATTCATGTATAGGCTGCAGCATGTATTACATAAGTGAGCCTGCAGCGTCCCCATAGAGGGCCCCATCTATAGGACAATGTGTGCTCTGTGCAGACAGACCAGAGCTGCACTGCACAGACTGCAGAGCTGCTATACAACTGCATGACTCTGATTCAACAATGTGTGGAAATAAGTATCTCATCTTCTGCATGAAAGTGATATTTGAGAGACTTATTTGAGACAGAGTTTTACAGTGTGTCTGTATAGTCAGCACTGAGGCTCTGTGTGTGGGTGTACAAAGACGATCCCTCTACTGGCAGTGCGTAAATCACTAATTAGCCTTGTGACCGCCGACTCTGCCCTAGTTCTCTACTTCTGTGAGCAAGGGGACGCTCAGTTCAGCAGCTCAAACCTTATGTCATACATTTGCGCAAGCTTTTTTCTTTTAAAGTGAAATGATTCAGCAGAGCCTGGAGGTGCCAGCTGAGACTTGTAGCACTCAAAAAAAGCACATAACCCATGGGTTGTGTACACCAAGAGGTATTTAAAAACTGTCTGATGATACAAAGCCATGACAAAAAGGACAACAGTAGGAAAGAAAAACAAAAAGGCAGACACCAGTTGCACAGTGACCTTTGCTATCAGCATGACTCCCATAGTGCATGTAAGCCCCCTGTAAGCACCAGGCCTGACCCACTTAGAATAACAGAATATGGGACACATACAAGCACATTTCCACTCATTATACTGCTGCAAAAGTGTTTTAATAATGTGGAAGAGGTCAAGCAGCAGGAACATGTGAACACAACCTGTGATGATAACCTTCTGACACAGCAAGGTAAAACTTATACCACGGATCAATGTGTAACAATGGGTCAGTTATTTAGAGGCGCCAAGGCATAAGGGAAAAGCGGCTAGTGCAGTGTATCAAAGGTAGCGCCAACAGACCTCTGGAGGAACGCCAGGCATTGTGTAAGTGCTTTTACAGCAGCAGGCAGCGCACCTTGGCGGGAAAGGTGTTCAAGTGACTAACAGCAATGCAATCAGTGTTGTGCAAAATATGTCTCACCTCAGGGCCTGACCTGTCGCTTCACAACATCCACACCAGAGACGTGACTCACTATCAAATATTCAACAGTCAGGCATAACACTGTGACAGGTTTTGTTTTGTTTATTAAAATCCTCATTTGTCCCGATTAACACGTGAAGGCAATAAAATAAACATTCTTCAAAAGCTTACTATTCTATCCTCACTGTTACAGGAAGTAAGTGGGTGGAGTAATCTAATTTATATTTTGTCCAGTTGTTGTTTTAAAAAGGGAAAATTTCAGTAGTTTGCATGTGAGCAAGATAATCAAATTTTTTTCCAAATTTTCTGATTTTCTGAGGTGTGTCTAGAATATGATGGTTGATCCAAACTTATCACGATCAACATAAAATAGTCTTTCTTTTAAGTAGAGCAGTCCAATGATTTGTAATCTTTTTGAATAGGGATTACTGACACTGGAAGACAGCATTTTCTAAGGCAAACTGAGAACTTGTAAAAAAATAACTATCTCCCTGCTGTGCGTAGCAATTCCATATAAAAAATTCCAAACCAGTCCAAACAATAAAAAGATAAAGAGCCAAAAATGAAAAAAATAAAATAAAATAAATAAAAAAAGGTAAGATTAGATTATAAAAGCAGGCCTTCCAAATGAAATGTTCCTTGGGCCTGGAGAACAACCCCCAGTGGACACATGCAATACTAATTGGTTCAAATGTCGCTAACACAGTTGGTAATGTGTTTTAGGATGTGACTGGTACTTGTGTGTGGGCTGCCCTGGCATCTGGGGAGGACTCCTGGGGACATTCACTGCAGCCTGGAGCGAGAAGCGAGTCCTGAGAGACATCTAGGCTCTGTGATTGGTTCCCACTCTCATCAGACTTCCTCTTCTTCTTCTTCACATGGTAGTAGTGTTTTTTGGACTTCAGATGTGCTGCAAAAGAGAAGAAAAACATAATTAATAACTAATAGTAATAATAACAGTAATACATATAATCTGTTCATGAATGCATTCAGAACTTGATTGAAGAATGTTGTCATGCACGCAGCATATTTGAATTAATTGCTAAGCCAGGTTGCAGTACAAGAGAATACAGACAAGTTTATGAGGCTAGTGATGAGGGGCCTCATTTATAAAGGAGGTAAGGTAAGGAGGGAGGGGCTCAGGGGGAGACGCAGTAGCAGAGGACACAGGCTTGTGGAACTTTAGAGAAAAAGTGAACTCTGCTTCTCTGAAAGAACATTTTAACACACAGACTTAACACTCATCTAATCATTTGGAAATAAGTGTTCTATTGAAACCACTGATGTTTTGGAGCGCATATAAAAGAGCATAATTTACAAAAAATTTTTGTCAAAATTAACCTTTTTAATCTTCCACTAGACATGACTTCCTCAAAATCTCTTTCCTCACAGCTCCTCTCTGCTCCCCGTGCCTCTGAGCCATGTTTCTGAAAAGTGCATACAGCGTACGCAAGCCCCAGACTTTACATGGAGGTCTGCAATGTTTCATGTTAATTTTTTTTTATAAATACCAACTTTGATGTGATGAGCTGCTTACACACATTTCTGGCCTCGTTTTGTGCGTAAGTAGCCTTTATAAATGAGGCCCCAGACCTACTGCAGCTTCTAATCCACAGATAAATGAAAAATCAAACTATGGTACGCAGTGGTGACATTTTGACCTATCAGCTGCTCACGTCCCAGTGTGAAGTCTCACCTGTCCACTCCAAATCTCCAATAATGACTTTGTCGCAGAGATCACAGGTGTGCCGGCTACGCTTGTTTCTTGACTCTGCCCCCTCCACTCTCAAAGGTGAAACAGCAGGCTCTTCACCCTGTATAATAAAATAGTACATTAGAAGTTATGATTTGAAATGAATATTAAAGTAGCTGGATAACCTAAATAGAAACTCAATCCAAGCTGGAAAGATTGTGAACAGGAAAAAGGAGACAGGAGTGGCAGAGGGCCCCCACCTTACAGAGCGAGGCCAGTATCTGCAGTGCAGGGGTCAGCACGGTCTCCTCCCACCGCGACACATCACTCACATCCAGACTGTACACTGGTGGCACTCCGTCACCTGGCCCTGTACACAAGCGGAATACACAGATAAAAACTTAAACCAGACATTCATATACATTATAATATAGTGTATTTACAAATGTAACTGAACAGTAAATATAGTACTATAAACAACTGGGGAAGAATATCAGCCTTACATTTTGCCAATCGAACAACTTCTTAGAAGCAAAGCTCTTTTCATTGATCTGGAGAGCTAAGCCACATTTCCTCTTGAAAATGAGACACTGTGTCTCAAGAGGCTGTTGTTTCAGTAAATTTCACTTTATACCTCACAAATAGAAGTGTTTATGTGCTCACAAAAAGAATAGGGAACAAATATTATGGCAGTACTATGCATGAAGTGGAAACATAAAACTTACTAATCTATCATTTTAGTATTCAATTCAAAATTGTTGTAATTCTCTATTTTACATGTTGCAATATTTATTGATTTCTTTTGCAAACGGAACAGCTTATTCAGTTAGAAAGTCAAGAAGCCAGTTTTACTCTTCCATATTAATGTTTTTTCTGGTACAGCCTAGATTTTAGACCAAAATAAAACAAATGAAAAAACAACAAACTTGCCAGCCAATACTGACATCCAATAATGGATGTTGAATGTAATGTTAGTAAAGGACCCATTTGCTGAAGTCATGCTGTAACAGTGATTGGAGCAGTGGTGGATCCATAGAGCACAAAGTGGAAAATATAACAGAACAGTGATGTGCTGGAGCCGCGCCCCACAGCCCTGTCAACCTGCTGACTCACACTGGCTCGATAATGTCTCTCTCTCTACTCTCCCCTTCTCTTCTCGCCTCTCTCTCTCTCTCTCTCTCTCTCTCTCTCTCTCTCTCTGGACATCATTCTTGCTCTGTCGTTCACCCTCCCTCCCTTTCTCTCCCACCTCTCCTCGGTTGGGTTTGTATTTTGCCCTGGTCAGCAGTCTGCCAGCCAGGCCTCAGCTCTGCCCTCCCTGTCTGTACACGCAAACCAGTGTCATGCATTGACCAGTGAGAATGGCACACCTATAGAAAACAAATAAGCAATAGCAGAGGGGAAATCAGGATCCTGTCATCAAAACACAAGCTATTAACCTTTATAGCATGCTTTGCCAACTCAATTAAGGCTTAATCTTCCTGCTTACTGAAAAAGTGATGTAGGGCCTGCAAACAAGGGGCAGTTAAGGACTTTAGGGTTATACATTACACAAAGCTTGGGTGAGAACAGAAAAGGAAGACAGTTCTTTTACCCAGTCATTTAGCGGTACCATATAATTTGATATTCATTATTCTATAGAGTCCAAGAACAGTGAGTAGACTAGTGGCCAAAACAATTATTGGGTGGCTATGAAGATGTCCATTGAGTGCACTCTTAAATGCACATTAACACAATGATAATGTACTAACCCATGACATTGCATTCAAATTTAATTTCTAGGCGGCCATCATCTTTGGACACCACATAGGCCAACTTCAAAATCAGTCTTCTAGTGCTGACCTGCATATGACTCCCATTCTATCACATTGGTTGTATGATCATAAAGGCCTTTGATTGTCAGTGTTAATCAAAGCCTCAGGTTACATTGGTGGGGTTACTGATTCTATTTAACACTCCACAGGGGAAAACCTATTATGCGTGTTGGACAATAACGGGCAGGTGGCTGGCATACCCCTAGCGGACAAACAGTTAATCTTTATAAAGTGTTCTAATTCACTTTGAGAGCTATCCCTTTGTGTGCTTATCTTTCTGTTTTTGCCACCAGCTACTCCCAAAGGCAAAGTAGGGAGTGTGACAGTAGACTACCAGATGTTGAATGAAGAAGTTTTCCTGAAGTGAAATCCAACTCTCTTAATCCACTCGAATGAATGCAAGCTAATAAGAAAAGAGATGCTACGGGTACAATGCGCTGGGTGGTCGGCTCAAACACGCGCCCATAGTAGAAGCGTATACATTTCAGGCGCGCAGGGAAGATCGTTTTGCCAAGAAGAAAAGCCCCCATATCGCCCAACAGCTGCCTAGCCCCAGTCAAAAGTGTATGTGGTGAAACTGTAGTCCACCTGTTGTCTTCTTTTGCGCGCTTCTTGTGTTTGCTGAGTGAGAGAGTTAGCGTGTGGATGTGTGTGTGTGCTTTTCCTATAAAAACGGCACTAAAAAGCCCCCCCATGTGTCGTGCCCCGCCCCAGCTGTGCGGCTTTGGCTGTCATCCACACCGGTTGGCCTCAACAGCTGCCTCCATTGAAAGCTGCCCCTTTTAAATCTATGGGCACTCGGTCACTTATTGTGTGCTTGTAATTGTTTGATTGCTTAAACGGTTTAATGATAAATGTTTTGGATGTAATACACTAGGTTATTTATAGAGCCTCTGAGTAAACTAATGAAATTAACTGAAATCAATCCAGTCAAAAGCGGCATAGATGAGCGCACTCTATGAGCTGGTTCTAAAATGGTTAAAAAATAAATAAAAAATGCTAAGGATTGTCACAAATGGCTTATGAACTAACGCTACAACATTAAAATATGTGCCTGAGTAAAAGTATACAATGCATACAATTTTGTGTTTTTCCAAACTGCACTTAAGCTTATTTGATATGATCTATATGATTGATTGTAGTGATTATAATCTATAGACATAAATATTTGAAGCACTTGGTCATGTCTATGGCTTAAAATAAACAGTACAAGATTCAAACTTCCCGAATCTAGTACAATACAACACATACCTGTCACCATATCGATCACTAAAAATAGACTACTCATTGTACTGATGAAATTTAAAACGATAACAAAGCCATCACCAGTTGTGTGGGAAAGGTGACAGACCGCCTCCATGCCGGCAGTAGACACTATGTTTTGGCACACTCAGCAGGAGGAGTTGAGTTAAACTTTTTTTTTTGTTATTTTTTTGCATCGGTTTGAAAGCTCTTACACAAGGGTCAAGGGTTTACGCTTGTCTCGCACCTGTCGACTCTGCTGGATTGGGTTTCCTCACTCTCCATCCGGCCTGCCGCCCATGAGCTGCTGTCTATGGTCACTTCTGCCTAAACAATAGCCACGTCTCATTACTTAACACTCACAAGGCCCGGTCAAACTACACCTGCGTATCCTGGTTACAAGAGGAGAGAGTGCTGGCAATCCTTTAAAGAAGAAGATAGAATTAGGGCTGTATATTTAGGGAGTCTCAAATCTATTTACAGGAGCCAAAAAAAACAAAAACAAAAAACAAATATAGGCCATGTCAGGAAGGCCATCTGGCATTAAAGCTATGCCAAATCAATCAAATAAATGTAATAAACTGTCATCAATTTATAAGAATGGGTAAAATTTAAATGTATGCATGAATGTATGTTAGTTTCAGGGCCCGTTCAGACCAGAGCATCAAGGCGTCCAGTTATTATGCAAAGTCAATGTGGATGTGCGTCTAGGGTGTCCTGCGTTTTTGCTGCGCATCTTCGTGCGTCAGCACAGCACAAATCTGGTGTTGAACTTTTCGCATCAGATGTGCCGCGTCAACCAATCAGGGACAAGTATCCAGGGATGTAGCAACGTTATTATCCAGAAGAAAGAGAAAGACCCGAGAACCTGAGCGGAAGCCACAAACATTAGCACAGTATAAATATATACAACACAATCACACACCCGATCGCGAGGACTACACCAGTCGGTGTAAAGAGATCTGGGCAGCAATCGAAAGCAGGGGCCTCAATGACCGGATCTCCGGACATTGAAACTGGGCACTCCCTTAGAGATAGGGTAAGGAGCTCAGCCACATGGAAGGAGCTCATTGTAGAGCCACTGCTCCTCCACGTCGAAGAGCCAGTTGAGGTGGCTCGGGCATCTGTTCCAGATGGCTCTTGGGCACCTCCTCCAGGACACGCTGGAGGGGCCATGTCTCTCGGATTGCCTGAGAACACCTCGGGGTCCTGACAGACGAGTTGGAGGAAGTGATCAGGGTGAAGGAAGTCTGGGGATCCCTGGTTAGAGTGCTGCCCCCATGACCTGATCCCAGATAAGCGGAAGAACATGAATGAATGAATGAATGAATGAATGAATGAATGAATGTATCCGAGAAAAGTTAAGGTACTACCGATAATATACTACAGAATGCATCTTTTGCTAACAAGCTCCAATGCCTGGAGGGTGCTGAGAGAGAGCACTATTGGAAGTCATTAGGCAGCATAGGCAGAGTCACTCACTGCATATTAATGAATGAAAAAAATTGCACTTTTCCCTAAATAAACAGTATTCTATGGAATTAATGAACATTCATATTTTTTTATTTTACCATTCTAATTATTTAGACACTTAGAGTTACTCTTTCGCACCATCACTTAGTACTTCTACTTGAGTAAAATTATTTTTGAAATAACATTACTCTTACTTGTTCTCAAGTGAGAGTACCTTTTGGCTACTCTACCCACCTCTGTTAATATCTCTAATTAACAGGGCTATGCATCCAAACACAAAACAACAAACTTTCTGTGTAAGCATAAATAAACTCAGCTGCTACATATCACGTTGTTTTCCTAAATTATCCCTTTATAGCTTTATATATACACCAGTGTGGACACCTGTATAAAGCACAATGTTTTGTCTTCATGGTCAATTAAATCTATTGAAAATCCACAGACACCAGACACACTGAGGCAGACATAAAAGGAAAGACAAATTGCTTGATTTAATTTGAGCTATCTGACCCATGACCTCCAAATCCTTTCAGTAACCACTCCAGTAGAGTGTAAAACAGTGCATATTCTGGTCACACAAATTCCCAAATAATTTGCAAAACAGTAGAGAACATAATGAGATAATAATAATAATGCTGATGCTAGTTGCTCAGTTAAAACACCATTATTGTTAATTATATTTTTAAGGGCAGAATTATTTAAGACTAAATGTGCCATCTTTTTTGTAATTCGTTTAGGGTTAAATTTTTTTCCATGAAATTAGCATAGTATTATATTAGCATAACTGAATTTGAACATTTGTATACATTTATGTAATCTAAGTTACTGTAATTCATTTTTGTCTCAAATGTGTGGATCATATCTGTGATAAATGTGATTTTCTTTAAGGAAATGTTTGAACATGTTTTTTAGCTGATGGACATTTTGTTCCTTTTGTGCTCTTTGAAAAGTTGTCCTCTAACTGTCTCAATTACTCTATTCATACATTTACATTGTGGGCCTATAATCAGGTCAGTTTCTGCCCCGTGCTAACCTAATTCATTGTCCCCAGCTGACAGTGCCATGTCTAATTCATGCCTTGCCTGTGACCTGCTAGTCTATATGCTTGGGTGACCGACTGTAGCCCCTTTTGACCCTGTTGCACTGGGTTTTGGTGGTCGGGGGCAAATTCCCGGCAGCTCTGTAATGCTTCACGAGATTAGCCTGCTCAGCTGAGGCCTCCTGGAATGCCTGTGTGCGCTAGGCTCAGACACAAGAAAAAGGAGGTCAGCAGCCACAGAAAGACAGAAGAGCAGGCTTTTAAGGACAGTAAGGTGAGTGCAGCGCTATACAACCACTATAAGCGGGATCAGAATACACAAGGCCAATATATACATGGTCTAACCCTGACTGAACCCAAACAGTTGTCATAAAGCAATGCATATCAAATACATTATTATCAACAATAGCCAAAGAAATAAACTGAACTCTACTGCCTAAAGAAACTATACAAATACATAGTAGTAAGGATGCAGCGATACTAGGATCAGGGCTGATATTGAAAATTTTGGTGAATCAGATATTTGCTTCCAAGATATCCCATTTTAGTCTATAACTTGGTGCAAGTAGATATTTACTGGACAATGGTAGCCCATAATATTAAACTATTCTATAGTATTATTAGGCTGTAAGCTGTTCTATATTTATACATCACATTGTGACAGGCCTAGAGACACCACAAACTGTAAAGAACTGTGTGTGGCAACTGCAAATTGTTTTACAAATGAAGAATTCCATGCCTGTTTCACAAGAAATAATGACCTTGCAAATACCAAACTTCAAACAATCCTAGGCTAAAAACCGAAGCATGCCAAACATAAAGCAGTATGCAACTTCAATTAGGTGGGCATTAAGACTACTGTGTGCTGTGCTACTGTGTGAGACTTGAAACTTTACATTTCATCCTCAACAAAGCTGATCTACTATAATCGAGAGGTTAGTGTAACATGAGGGTGAAGCATGGGGAGGACATTCAGGGATTTAAACCCCAAATGCTGAAACGGGTACAGAGCACAGCATGTCCTGTGATCATTCCCTCTGACTATAGCGCAGGATGATTTGAGCTAGTTTAACAGAATTGTAGAATTGTTAAACCTACAAGAGCTAAACTTTTGCAAGAGTTTCTCATGCAGTTAACTAGCAATAACAGTCTGTACTAGTTACAATCAAAAGTGGACCAGGAAAGGAACAGTGGACTAGTATTATTACACATTATAATTTGGTGATAATTGCACTTATTAGCATATCCAGTTCTTTTGATTGTTTAACCTTCTGACTAAAGAATCACATAACAAACTTGAATGTGAAGAGGTTGCTGAAGAAGTTTTATTGTGTAGGAAATTATATAATTTATGTAATTTATGTAAGTAAAGTTAAATGGTAAATGCTGACATTTTTATACAGCGCTACACCTTCAAGACACTCAAAGCGTTTTACAACAACCACTCACCCATTCATACACCAGTGTACACAGAGACTGGGGCAAGGTGGGTTAAGTGTCTTACACAAGGACACAATGACAGCATTCATCTGTGGGAGCTGGAATCACACCGCCAACCTGTAGATCAGTGGGTCTGATGGCTCAACCAATGATGTTTATGTCGAGAGGGGGAAGATATCAAAATCTATCTTGCATTTCTGTTTCAAAATATAATATATCAATGGCACATAGCTAATTGACCATTGGCTGCTCTGGATCCAATAAACATGGAATTTATATCAGCCATGAACAAAACAATATGATACAATGGTTATGCACGTGGGAGGATAGTGCTCAAGTCACGGCGCTCAACATACAGAAAGTAAAAAATGCTTTGCTTAAAAAGTATAATTCATCTTGGATCTCTGAAGTCTTGCACAATCCACAGTTATAGTGACTACTAACTAATTTACAACAGGGCTGAACAATGTGGGAAACATTCTAACTGTGATAATTCCAAAAAGCTTTATGTTTTAATAATAGGATTCTGTTCAAAATTGCGATTTATCTTGCAGCTATACATTAGAACCACATATTTTTGAGACTTTACCTTTAAGAATGCTTTAACTAGAAGTAAGAAGAAGTAAACCAGACAACAGCCCTTCTTATAGGGTAGCATGGTCTATATCAGTCCCCCTACTACACAGTAAACATGCCTAGCACAGATATGCACGTGTGACAATGACCATATGGTGAGTTGTAGGCAGGCTGCTTTCAGGAGGAGGCATTAGGTTTTGGGTCTGGTGGGATATAAGCCACTTGGGCCTAAAAGGATTAGACTCCTGGGTTACTGCAGGGCATGCTCCTGTGGGTAGACATCTACATTTAAAGGCTGCGAGATGTCTGGACCAACCTGGGAAGGTCCTACCACTCCTTCTGATTATAAATACATGTTATTTAAACTGTAAGATGTGAAAAGTGAGCTGGAATATTTGCCTGACAAGTTAGGGCTGTACAATTAATCGAGATGGAGATTTCGGCTGTTCTAATGGTCAATGATATGATTAGGTTTTTTAATCAAGAGGTCTAGAGCCCATTCCCTGTCAGTAAAAGCATGCAGTTTGGAGAGGAGTTCAGACTTTGGAGGAAAAGGTAAATGGAATATGGAAAATTGAAATGATAAAGGTCTGTCTTGTTTACATTCAGGAAATTTTAATTGAAATGATTACATTTTGTAAAAATGTTCTTACTGTCCATTTGATTACTGATGATGAATTTGTTTATTTCTGTCAATACTAGAGCCTATTCAAACTAGTATGGGCACACTGTCAAAGTGGTCATTTGTTCACATAGAACCAGTCGATTAATTTCAATTATTTGGAGCAATTTTGAATGACCAATGCCAATTGAAATTGACTTGAAAAAACTGATAGTTAGGTACTTCATTATGTGACGTGAAATTAAGTAGTCTTAAATACACAATAGTAAATAATGTGTAACATCACTAGAGCCATCTATTCTGCTTCAAAGTCTGTGACAAAATGATTACAGGAACCAGATAGTTAAAACCCTTCAAGCATTCAGCGAGAGACTATTTGTACTTGTGATAACTCGCACCACTGTTCATTTGGGTAACGTGTGCTCAAATTGGATACACTTGCTGCCTGTGAACAGCTTGTTTTGAGAATACTCACGTTTAAGGAAGCGGTTCCGGACCCATTTATTCTGTTTGCGAGCATAGCGTCTTGTAGCAATCTTCAAAGCCTCTATACCTATACAAGAGCAGATGATAAGCATTATTACATTATTCCATAAATATTAATCTTTGATTAATGCTGATTCTTTGACCTTTTTTGCGTAGAGTGTCTCTTTCTTGTTGGCTGCAGCTCTCTGAAGCGATCAGGTAGTCATGGAACTCCTTAAAGCCAATGGACTGGAAAATCCCATGTTGATAGTCCTGACTGAGAGCACAGCAGAGGAAAAAGAGGAGTTTTTTTCTGTACTTTCCATCTTCACTTGACCATTTCTTTTGAATCATTTCACCTCCATCTAAAGCGGCTCAGAACAAAAGACTGTCACAGTGACCAGATGAGGCCCTTTGGGGACAGTGGCAGATTGTCGACTGGCTCTGCTCGCATCTTAAAATGTCAAACAATGGACATTTATGGAGTTATATTGACTATAGACACTCAATTATTCTGTGTGTAAAACTGTTCTACTAGTTTTGATCCCCCATTACCATCTAGGAAAGTTACACATCCAAGTAATGTGGGAAAACTATTATTTAATAGTGGACTTAACATTAGTATAGTAATAAATAACAAATGATTCAATAAAAGATATGTTTCACATAATTTTTATCTATAGTATCTATATAGTTATCTATATCTATCTATATATTTATGTATATATAGTTGAGTATTAACAAGCTCTGGCAATACAGTTTTATTAACTAGAAAGGAAGATACTGAAATAATGTTATGCTGCACCTTTTCTTCAATAGCATTAGAAAATATGTTGAATAGTTTACTTGACTATTGAAATAAATGCTTAGAATTTGTTTTAAATTCAGATCTTCTATGAGTTTCATTTTCAGCTAAGATAAGCAGATAACAATCTCTGGTTTTGTGAAAAGATATTCAATATTGACATACTGACCTATAAAAGTCCTAAATCCCAAAGCACACAGCATTCACAGCTAAAATGAATGTAACCAAACAGAAGAGGCTGAAATGTGAGAAGGGCCACAGAGCACAGGAAATGTCGAGTCAATGGAGGGCACTGAGACTGAGTGTTTGACCTTGATGTCTCGCCACAGCAGCCGAGAGGAGACAGGATTGCACTGAGGAGATGTGTGTATGCATGCGTGTGTGTGTGATGCATGTGTGCGTGTGCGGGTGTGTGTGTGTGTGTGTGTGCATGTGTGCGTGCATTTGTGGGTGTGTGGGACGTGGGGGGGGTAATACTGCTCCAAATGAAACAGTGGCAGAGAAAGAGGAGGAAGATGTTGAAGAGGCTGCGGTCTACTGAGGCTAACTAAGGTGATGGGTGGAGACTTGGAGACTTTATGAGCTGTTTTATACACCTATAGGACAATAATTTAAACCTAGCATAATAAAATACAAAAAAGGCCTTTGTTTCTGTTCTGTAGCCTTTGTACAAGATTCAGAGCAATCAAATGGAAAGGGCTACTTCAATGGTCACAATTAGCGAATCACAAAGGCCATCATTATTTAGCAGGTAATACAGAGAACTAAAAATGCATGCTAAACTTTGACAAAATTTAAATAAATACCACATCTAATTGCAATCACAATTCAGGCCTAGTAGTTTTAACTGTGAAATTTACTTATTTCATTATTATTTTTTTAGCATTCATCTTTAGCTTTGAGGAGATGATATTCTATGTAAAGGTATAATGGCTAAATACATACTTCAACCACTAATTTAATTACTGACATACAGTCCCTGACAAAAGTCTTGTCGCTTATCCATTTTGTTGAAACAAAAGCTTATAACCTGACTTTAAATTAATCGATTGGTTTTAGAAATGTCTCATATGAAAGCTAAAACCCTCCCAAATTATGCTCAATATACTAAAATAAATTTGCTTCACTGAAGAAAGATTGATCATTTAATGAACACAGAAAGGTCAGATTTTGGCAAGACAAAGGTTTTGTCTCCTACAGAAAACTGAACAAATAATTTACTTCAAATACAAAAATATGTTGCATAACGTCAGTGAATGAAGTAATGGTGCTGTGAGATCCATATTTAATATCTTGTATGACTTCCATGAGCTTGAAGGACTACATCCATGCGGTTTGACAATGATTCATACAATTTGTTGATGAAGTCATCAGGAATAGCAAAGAAAGCAGTCTTACATGCCTCCTAGATTCTTTGGTTTTGCCTTCCATGCTTCCTCTTTCATTCTACCCCAGTCATGCTCAATGATGTTCATGTCTGGTGACTGGGCTGGCCAGTCCTGGAGCACCTTGATCTTCTTCACCTTGACAAACTTTGATGTAGAGATAGAAGTATGCGATGGAGCACCATCCTGCTGCAAAATTTGACCCCTTTTATGGTTGGGAATGTAAGAGGTAGCTAATATTTCTTGATATTTTAGGCTATTGATATTACCTTCCACCCTGCAAATGTCTCGCACACCCCCATACTGGATGGAACCACAGACCATGATTTTTCCGCCACCAAACTTAACTGTTTTCTGGGTGAATCTTGGATCCATGCGGGCTCCAGTAGGTCTCCTGCAATATTTGCGGTGGCTGTGATGTAATTCAACCGAGGATTCATCTGAGAAATCCACCTTCTGCCACTTTTCCAGTGTCCATCCTGTTAGCAGGCTGTGGGCCTTGGCAAATGCCACACGGTTTTTTAATTGCCTTTTGTTTAGTGCTGGTTTCTGTGCACTGATTCGACCATGGAGGTCATTTCGAGACAGAATTCTGCAAACTGTCCTGGTTGACACAGGGACTTGAGGTGACCGGGCCTGGTGGAGCTCTGCTGCAGTGGAAAAGGGGCTGGCCTTGGATCTTCGAATCAACAAACGGTCCTCCCGAGCAGTTGTCTTGCGGGGTCTGCCGGACCTGGGCTTGTCAAAAACATCTCCAGTCATTTCAGATCTTTTTCTTATTCTTTGTACTTGACGCTGAGACAATTGAAGGTGTCAGTCAGCTCAGCAGTGGATCTGGTCTTCAGCCTCTTGATAATTAATGCTTTGGTCTCAGGGTGCATATTAGGCATGTTGTCAGAGGTCAAGTTGCAGTTGATGTGAAGGTCTGGTGTGCTGGGGTTCTTTTTATACACATCCACTAATTGATTGATCAGTAACTGATCACAGGTGAGGCTGTAATCTAGGATTGGGTGCATCATATGACAAGGCGACAAGACTTTTGTCTTGCCAAAATCTGACCTTTCTGTGTTCATTAAATGATCAATCTTTCTTCAGTGAAGCAAATTTATTTTAGTATATTGAGCATAAATTGGGAGGGTTTTAGCTTTCATATGAGACATTTCTAAAACCAATTGATTAATTTAAAGTCAGGTTATAAGCTTTTGTTTCTACAAAATGGATAAGCGACAAGACTTTTGTCAGGGACTGTACATGTCCAACTCTGAAAAACAAAACAAAACTTTTGAACTGAATATCTTACAGCAAATACTTTTTGAAAATTGCTAGATACCTGTTCCCTTTTGTTTGTGCAATAACATTGAAAGAGATTCAGTCAAAGAAATGCAATCTGGAGTCTATGCTTGTGCATCTATATCAGCAGACAACAATGGACTGTAAATATGATGTGGGGAAATGTCAGGGAATTACCAAATCAATCTCTAACACAATTATGTATTTAAACAGAACTGTACCAGACAACAATGTATAGAGCAGAGAGGGGGGCATTCCTGTGCCTGAGACTTGCCAGGTGCTGTTAGTGCTAATGGTTTAAATCAGGCTTATCAGCATTTCATTACTAGGAATCCCTAAAAAAACTATGTCTCTCATTTGTATTAAAGCCACAACAAGTCAGCTTTATCTAAAAACCAAAGAGCACAGTCTGAGCTGTCCCAGCAAAGAGTAGAAATAAAATACACACAGTTGGTTGGCAGAGTTCACTTAATGTTAAGAGCCTAGTTAGACAAAGAGGGGAGTTACTCTCTGTATGGACAACATGTCTGGGGCATTACCTCAAAGAGTAGATGGTAAGATCATCTCAGTCTTAAAACAGTGACATCTCTGCAGCACCAGCTGATAAAAACATGAGTCTAAAGATGTTATACCTATTTAAGGGAACTAAAAGAACTAAGGCAGCTATTACTTAAATTGAGAAAGGACAGGCATGTGGAAAGAAATTGGTTGGTCCGTACTTGCTGGTTACCTCTCATCCTGGATTTTCTTTTGATTGTAGCGAACATGGAAATCTTTCAGCTCATCAATTAGCCCTGCAGCCAGCATCTCATCCACCCGAGTGTCCAAACGTTTGTCCAGAGCTGGGGGTCAGACAAATTAAAGGTTGTTTCACACAACATTGTTCATTTCAAGTGTTTCTGGGTAGAAAATATTTTTATCAATTTCAAGTATAGTATACCTTCCATGTCAGAATGTAGCCAGAAGATGCAAGGGTCTGGGTACCGTAGTGGTCCTCCCAAGCCTCCTCCGCCCTCCTGCCTCCTCTGCTCTTCCAGCCACACACTGTGGGGGATGCCCGTTTCCTGGTGGATTTGCAGACTCCTGGAGATGGAAGCACTGGTTATTGGTTTGGAACTTCAGTGCTGATTCAATTGTTTTAATCTGACATTTCTGAATGCACCAAAACAATTTGTTCTTATAATTACTACATTTTGGGATATCCGAATCATGACTCATTGAGAAAGTATTTTCAAATATTCTTCTGGTTTATTAAGGCAAAGAACTACGACTAATGTCACTCTAGTTAATTCATATTTTAATAACTAATTTAGATAATATAAGAGTTCATGTTTCCACATACAAAACAAAACCAACTGAAAACAAAATGTGGCCAACCTCAGGGAGACATTTAATTGGATCACTGAAGCATTCTGTTTCAATTAAAATGAACAGAAGCTCAACTCTAATGTAATCTCAGGTTAAAGCCAGTGCCGCAACATACTTGAGAGTGTTAAAAGTGATTATTAGATTGTTACAACACCTACAACCATGTGTGAATAATAGGATAGTAGTCACAGTCCTCCTTTTCTCAGCTTACATGACCTGTGTTAAAACCAGCCTAAACAAATTTTTAAAACATTCATTTTCAAATCCCAGTCAGTCATTTTAAGCGTGCTTGGCTGCACCAGAGGTTGTGAGGAGGAAGATGATTCTTGTCATCTCCTGTCAGGCGGAAGAACAGGGTAACCTAACCTGTTCACTCAGGGGACTGCTACTCATCAGCTCAGTGACTGTGAGAAAGATGGCGGGAAGCAAAAATGATTGCTAATTTATACTTTTCTTTTGGTAGGAAGAATCACAGAAATAGCTTGAGAAGATTTTTTTAGTTTGTTTTTTAAAGCCAAAGCAAAAATAAAAAATCTTAACTTCAAATAAATGCACTCACAATCCACCACTAAGATATTAAAATCCACGTCTACAGAAAAATATATATATTGTTTTCCCAACTGAATAATTTATGAAAAACAATTACCAAAAACAAAACAATCGGTGGGCTATGATTCTATTAAAATCAATTCATAAATGAAATACAAGCAATAGCTGATGTAATAATATGTGCTGAAAATCTAACCATAATGAGTCAATACATGTACAACACTGTCGAAATTATTATTATTATTATTTTTTACCAATCGGACTCCCATTGTTTACCTTGCAACCTTCCGTTTATCATTGGGGTGCAACATGGCTGCCATTGTGGGGTCTACTTCCATCAGTTGTTTATGTAGCTCAGCTCCTCCCAGTTTTTCCAGCTCCAGTTTCCTGTTGGGCACTGAGTCTTCACCATCACCTGAGTCCTCATTGTCCTGCAGAAAGATAAATTCGATAATAATTTGAGAAACGAACAAGGAAATCGCTAAATGCCTGTTAAGTTGTTTGGTCTTTCTGACTCACCCCAGTATCCAGCAACACTCTCCACAGTAGAGACTCTATATAATAATTTGTTCCTCCCACAACAATTGGCAGCGTGTTCCTATTGTGCATATCCTCAATGTTGAAGTACAAGTTAAGGGAAAAAAAGCCTTAGTTTAACCTTGGTTTAATTTAAAAGATGTTAACTAAACTATTAGTCAAATAAATATGAAAGTTTTACACAGTTGAAAGCAGTTATTGTTGCTATATAGGCTTTGAATAGCACACAGCTCATAACAAACTCATCATTAGAGTTTAATATAGAATACAAAGTACAAAATTGATGTTAACTGTGCACAAATGACTGAAGCCATTAACGCAGTGTGCAGCCAATCAAAAGTAAAAGCCTCAGCTACTCAATACACTAAAATAGAAGCACAAATCAGGACTGTGTAGGGCCCAATCACAGCATATGTGTTAAGGATTTAATTCGATGTTGTTGAGGGACTGCATAATATTCATGGTAGCAGCCTTGTAAAATTATGGAAGAGTGTCAATTTATTTACAATTCTGAAAGTGGGATTTTTTGTGTATAGTCTTTTTGCTTCTCTGCATTAGCAAGGAGGTTGTAAGTTTTATTCTTGCACCAGCCAACAGTTCACACACTTCAATAGTTGTGACCATAAACTGTTCATTTGCCGATTAGATAAGAAGTCCTGTATAGACTGAATGTGCTAAGCTATATCAAATAGCTTTTAAGTAATCAGTTGACTTTCATTCCATTTCTAAGAACAGATCAAAAATTCCTTCCTCTCTTGTCGCAGTTCTTGCACTCTCCCCCTCTCCCTGTATGGCACGCCGTCTCTCTTTCAGGGATAATTAAATAAGCACTCTTACAAGATCAAGGCAATTGCCACCAGTCACACTCCCTCCCTCTCTCTCACTCTCTCTCTCCCACATAGACACAACACTGGCTGCTGCATCACTGTGTCTGCATCAGGATAAGGTGCGGGAGGTTGAAACCAGAGAAAAAAAAACTGACGCTTGTGACTGAGAGAGCGCTGACTACAGAAGAGGGAGTTCTTGGGAACAGCCAGCGTTGCTGAGTGAGCGATTGATAGCTGATGATGCGTCATTATGTCCATCACTTGCGTTTAAGAGGGCATCTCCTTCTCTTCGGCCCTCCCTCCTCTTCCCTGATTTACAGTTTTCCTTTGCTAATCTGTAGTCATCATTCCATTCGTCTCTTCCCACCATGCAGCAGCAAACTATTCTTGGATCTTTACCGCATCCCCACGCTGCGCTGCTATGCATATGTGTATGTGTGCGTGGCAGATCTATTAATACCATCTCTAGTTATCGCCTCCCCTAGCCCACATCTGTGTGACAGCCAGAGTCTGCAGGAGAATGGGAGTGAATATTGGGAGGGGAGGGCTGCCTCAGATGTGAACCTTTTTTTTTTTTTTTTATATCATCCCAAGTGATCTTTTTTAACCGCAACATCTGTAGCAGCAATGGCCAAACAAGGGCATTGCATAGACACCACTACAGAAACCACCCTACGCAATTTATAACAGATCTAGCACAGGTAGTTGGCTCCTCAGGGGGGAGGTGGTGGCAGTAGTGGTAGTGATGTGTGGTGGGTATTAACAGGAAAAAGGATATAAGAGCCAGAGCTTTGTTTCGGAAGTCCACTACGGTATAGGTGCACACTAGAGGGTCTACGAAGCTGATCATGTGATGTCTGCACTGGGCACGCTCCTCTGCCGTCACCTTATTAGTGATGATGTCTAGACCATGGTAAACCTGGAAGAGATACATTGAGCCATTTTAGATTAGTCCTAAGCCTAAAAAAATGTCTACGTTTCTGTTTCGAAAGGCAATGGCACTGGGAATAAGATATACCAAATTAAAAGAAAATGATCATCAATGGACAAAATGTGAGATCTTCATATATAATAAAAAGCAAAAATTTCAAAACTAAATTCAACAAAGCACCATTATGGTATGGAAAAAACTGACAGATAGCTACAAAATCCTTTCGTCCTAATATTGCAGGACACAAGTTCCAGTGTGTAGACGAAATGTCCCCGTAAACTATGAAAGAGAAAAGTTCACTGCTTGTAAATGTAATATACTGTAACTGTAGGAGTATGTGCATATCAATGCCAAAGCCACAGTTGGAACAGAAGTGGCAGGCCCACATCGTGTGAAGCACTAGTTTAACACAGCCCTTCTGTCATTTTTACATAATGCAGTGGAGGGGCTCCCTGTAGGAATGTGACAGCTGGGTGTCAGAATCTGTCATGGCCCTGTGTGTCCGGCTGAGCAGTGCCTTCTATGGACTAAGACTTCTAACAAAACTCATAACTTTTAGCCACTACAGCCCTGACAGCCCAGAGGAGAATACCAGATCAGAGGAGACCCACCCCTTGTTCTAGAGTAGGGTAGGGTGTCAATCTTTGCCACATTTTTAAACATTAAATGGAAGACCACAGACTGGTTACAAATTGTTGTTCAGGTCATGGTTTTTAAACTTAAATTAACTATTACTATAGTAACTTGGATCAGATCAACAAAAGCATAACCATCCTTTTGGTGTTCTGACAACAATATTCATTCACAGTAATCACTAGATGTTATTAAAATTACATGTCAAATTGTTTGATCAAACTAGTGCACTCAGTGTCTATGCCAGACCTAGGATATGTATATGAACAGGGTTGCAAGTTGAAAAGTTAAGAAACAATATTAAGCCTTGGTGGTTTGTATATTATCCAGTTCTAGGCAAGGCAAGGCAAGTTTATTTGTACAGCACAATTCGTACACAAAGTAATTCAAAGTGCTTTGCAGAATAAGAAACACATTAAAATCATAATAAAAATAAATCAAAACATAAATAATCATGAAGATTAAAATTAAAAAAGAGAGACAAATTGGAGAGAAGAGTGCGGAATGAAAACCTTTCAGTTATATGCACAGTTAAACAGAAATGTTTTGAGCCTGGATTTAAACAGCGTCACAGAAGAGTCTGTCTCACATGTTCAGGAAGACTGTTCCAGGTTTTAGCTGCATGAACCTGAAACGCTGACTCCCCTTGTTTAGTTCTGACTCTGGGCACCAGCAGGAGGCCGGTCCCTGAGGTCCTCAGAGTGCGAGATGGTTCATAACTAACATGTCACAGATGTACTTTGGTGCTCGGCCATGGAGAGACTTGTACACAAGCAGAGATATGTTCTATGTGTTTTGTTTTTTTTTTCATTTATCTTTTGTTATGTCCTGTCATGTCAGTATGTTAATGCTACTGGCCCCTGATCTGAGCCAAATTTCTCCACAAGGAGATGAAGAAAAAAATAAATAAAAAATCTTGCTTGTTCTAACAAAGTGAAGTCAAGAGTAAAGACTAAAAGGGTAAAAGTATCTGACTGTCTCTAAGTTTTGCCAAACAGTATAACAGTATGTTCTTGTCCTTAAAGTGTGTGTGTATCCCATTTTAAATTTTAAAAAGATGGATGTATGCACACTTTTGCTGGATCCAAGAAAATCTTTCAAGTTTCATTTCAACAGCCTTGCATCATAAATGAATGATCTCAAGGTGGGATGAACCTTGAAATAACCTACAATATCTTAGCTTCTTGGTTACCTTTCAGTATTTAGCCAAAAGTTGAACAGACTGATTGATTAAACAATTGATCATTTTCATGACATGAGTTGCTTGCCTTGTACATGAACTGATCTCAAACTTTGTGGCAAATCAAAAGCTGTGAACATGGCCAGGTAGAACAACTCAGTGGATGAATTATTTAAGCCTCCTCTGCACGACACCGGCCCAAGGAGGGATGGACAGCGAGAGGCTGAAGAATATTCACAAGAAAAATAAGTTATAGAAGGTCTTAAAATACAGTAGATGATGAGAAGTAATGATATGACAAAAGAGCAGTGTGTACTTGTTACAGAACAGGATGGTCCCTGACAAACTGGAACCATCTTTCAGCTCCTCCTTTTACTGTCATTTTTCACAGACACTTGAAAGAAGCTGAGATGACAGGTAGCAGTAGGACGGCAGGATGAGAGTGAGAAGAATGTCAAAAGCCATTTCGCATCATGTAAAATGTAGACTTCTTTTATGTGTCAGAAAAGTCCTACATGCTATAGTGGGAATCAGATCTTGCATTTTTGTATCAAATTTAATGGAGTAAACATTTTCCAATCATATAAAGCATAGAGATCATAACCTGACTGCAGGTGGTTCTTACCAAGTGGTTTTCCTTGTAAGCAGCAACAATGACAATATATTATGAAGAACTTTTCTAGTACGGAAGTCCACTGCCTGCTCCATGAAGACATTATTGCTTTGACTGGAATGTCCCAGAATGTGGTATTAAATGTATCAATATAACATTTATTTTATTACAGGGGTTTTTATTGCTCAAAAATACCATGAAAAAAACATGCATAATATGAGCATGATCACCTCTCAACATACAGTGTATGATCTGTAACCTACATTTTCTAACTGATTTCTTCCACCGTTACATTAGATTTTTTTACAATCTCTACTCAGATGCCTCTTTGTATAGCTGTGCTGTTTCTGGGGACAACATGAGATTTGTGGGTATGATAATGTTTTCCACTGAAGTCTATAATGTGGGTTCAGCTGCCTCCTCTCTCCTCCCAGTGAACGTGAATGGATGTCCGTGCCCAGCTTGCATGCGAGTCCAGAGCCTGTGTATGTGCCTGTGTGTGGGGACAATGAGCACAGTGTTGGGGCTCTGTGGAGCCTGCAGCCGGCCGGCCTGGCCCAGCCTTATGCCCTGCACGAGACAGCTGTTCCTCTACCACATAAATAAAGAGGAGGCACGGCCCAAATAAAGAAGAGGGCAGCAGAGGGAAAAAGAGATGTGTGTAGAACAAACACATTCATTCACACAGAAAAGAAACAGTGGACAAAGGCAAAGTACAAAGATGCATGAAACGACATTTATTAATTTGGGGCTTGTAAAATAGTGCCTCGAAAGCTGTCTAAGATTTCACATTCTCTGAAAGTTCAATTCAATAGAGCCTGATATGCACATTTTTAACTTATCGGATATCAGTCTTAAATCTCCAACACAGCCTGATATTTTGTTTTGGCTAACCTGCTGTACACATAGATAACTGCAGTTTAGGTTCATGGTAAAAAGGGCTGTGGGTGAGTTTGTAGGTCATTTAAATGACAATTTGACATATTTAACTGAAGCCCAAAGCAAAGTACTTGCATTTTGTTACACAGATTGCATATAACATTGTTGGTATTTGCCCAAGAACAGAACAAGAATAGGCCTACCAAAAATCATAAGAATACTCAAACTAAAATACAAAGCAGCACAATGGACAACATCCATTGTTTATGACCTCTAAGTAGAAGCTAGTGTAGGTCATGTTTATTTCCTGTTTCCTTTGTTTAGCTTCAACAAATTTTTCACATACACTAACGCTTAAATACCAAGATGCATAGTCTTCTTTTCATCATGTTTATGCTTGTCCCGAATGGCTCTGTCTTTCAACAAATGCATCCTTCCATCTTCCTCTCCTCTCCTTTCTCCACGGGAACAGTAATGCCAGACTAATAAATCATTCATGGCACTGTTCCCGCCTCCTCCTGCTCTCCTCCACCCTCCTCTTTATCACCACTTTACAGTAGCGTAGGGATGCCATACCACAGTCTAAACACTGCAAAATAAAAATAATAAAGACGTATTCAGCTTGGAGTTTGATCGCTTGATGAGGTGAGTGACAAGGATGTGTCTGAAATGTGATGATGTGGGAGGATGGCAACCGGTGTCCACGTTGCGACACACACAGATACGTCAAAGCCAGACAGGTCATAGCCACAGCAGACGCACAGACAGAGAGAGAGGAACACAGAGAGAGAGAGAGAGAGAGACAGAGACAGAGAGAGAGACAGAGAGAGAGAATAGAGTGAAGAGAGAAAGGAAAGAGAGACAAACTGTAGCGCACATCCTGCCCAGTGTGGGAAGTGTTGAGGACGTCCATGAACATTTTGTGATACTGACGTGATGCTTGGAGATTTGTGAGCTATAAACCAAAGGAAAAAAAATTGGATGAGAAGAAAAGAAACAAGAACCATTTCACTAAAAATGCAGTATGAGGTTACAATTTAGCAATTACAGCAGTTATGGGCAAAGGCTATGGTTTTATGGTAAAAAAAATAAAATAGTTACAATCTTACAAGAGGAGAAACATGATAGCAAAATGTTCAAAATAAATTGTCAACACAGCCCATCACATTGCTCATTCTCACATGAAACATAAAATGACTCTTGACCAATGATTGTTTTGTGTCACTTTTAGACAGTTTCATGCTGCGTTTGAGCAAATACGGCTGCTCCCTTTAAACTAGGGTCAACAGTCACCAATAAGTCCACTGGTCTGAGAGACCACACTCACACACCACAACAACAGAGGATGTTTGCACATGACCTGTTAAATCACCCAAGAGACCAGAGGGCACTGCCCCAGTATCCACGCCACAGCACGCCCCGAAGCAGAACCACCAAGCCACGGGGGTCAGCAGTACATGCTTTGCACAACATTTATCTCTTATTTCAAATCAGATCTTTAACTACTTAAAATTAATTGTTCTAGCAGTGCATCTCATTTTTGGAAGTCTTACTAAAAGTATATAAACAACCCACAAAATTCCACCTACTTTTCAAACTTGCTCACTTAATGTCCCTCAGAGCACACCTCCTACCTATTCTTCTCTGCTGTCTGAAAATTTTGACACCCAAAGCATAAAGTTTGTGAACCAGACTGCTTATTTCCAGTCTTTTTATAGATCACAAACTTAACATTGAAAGTCACATTATGCAACATTTTTGTGTACACATGCTGTATAAATGGCATCCATGAAGCCTTTCACATTTTCCAATATAAGTTATTTGGGCAAATGTAACAAACAAACATATTTCTATGACAAATACATAATCTGAGAAACTTTTGAAGAGGGAGCTATAAAACCACTGCTGGTTGAGAGGGCTTCCAGAGCTTAGGTTCAGTTCATGATCTAACAGTAGAGATACTGTGTGCCATGGATAGCATGTTCATTTAATGAGAGAATAATATCCCCAGCATGTCCAATGAACTATGAGTCCAGGCCATGGGCTTGGGGCAGGAGGGGTGAGAACCATACAATAGGAGTGTTAGGGAGTGTGGGAACCAATTCTCTGTTGGACAATAGACACTTCCCAGTGGCCACAGTGTGCCATTCACTCTCAGCTGCTGGGCCAGTGTAGCATGCCTTCGACTATGCACCAGCTCAGCACAATGTAGCCTTCTACCAAACAAGCCCAGACTGTTTCCTCTCCCAAAGACAACACAGCACTAGCCCGTATACGGCCACATTCATAGTGCTTCTGCTTAAACTGTAGCCCCTTAGCTTGTCTCCCTTGGTTCTCTGTCACACACACTAGCAGGAGCCTCTAACAGGGACACTGATTGTGGAGAGGCAGGCTCTATCTGAAACTAGGCCACTGTTTCTCACCACAAGAGATGGAGCTATGGAGATATTCTAGGCAGAAATTATCAGAGTAACCCAGTTTACCCACTAGCAGGTGACTGCTGGAGGAACAGCTCCCTGCAGGGATACACACTCTCAAGGACATGGTTAACCTAGGGGTGGGGAGGAGCGAAGTAAAGTAATGCAATGGGTATAACTAACTGGCTATGAAGCTATAGATGCAGAGACTGGATCCACTTAGGACCATTAATCAAGCCACCATTGTCCATGTGGAGCAGATAAAGTTAAGATCATGCTGCAAACAAGTCAAGCAATTAGGCACAATAATTCAAAACTATACAAGTTTCTGAATGATATAAAGACCTCAGAATGCCTACTATGAACACATAATAGTAGGCCTGGTAACAATAGCCACATAGCTGTTTACGTTCTTGAAATGTTGCTTGTGTCAAAATCATCTTAGTCAAGACAATGTGTTTTCTAAAAAGTCCCAAATCAACTCAAATTGTAGGCCAATGACAAGATGTGTTATAGGCCAGATCTGTGTAGAGGCAAGAATACTTACATAAAGAAAGATGTTTTAAAGGTTTTCAAGTTTAATGCCATACTCTGGAACATTCTACTCCATGGGCAAAAGCAGGCGTTAGGTCCTCTGCTAAAATGTTACAGGGACCTTTAATGAGACGCTTTATTGGTTTACTTATCAAAACAAACATGAAAACAAGCAAGTTTCCTTTAAATTTTAAAACATGTTCTTGAAATGATACATGACAAGATCAAATGTATGCATGAAAAAGCAAAATAGGCCTGCTTAACTTAACAGAGTCCAGATCATGCCATGTTATGTGCACCAATGTCGACACTGCCTTTCGGTGTTAGACCGACTGCACCGTTGAATTTAATTTTCATACACTAACTAATATAGTGCACTCCTCAACGTGCTCTGTACAACGTGCTCTCGAATTTGTCAGATTTTGTCCTGTCCTGAAGGGGGGACAAACCACACTGACTGACCGCGTGTCCTACCTGCATAGAGTCTGCGCTGATGATTTCCCCCTTCAGGCGCTGGCCCAGCTCGATGGCGAGTTTGGACTTCCCTGTTCCCGTGGCTCCCAGAATCACAACCAACGACGGTCTCATTGCTCTCCTCAACGAGCTTTGCACGCAGATAGAGGACGCCGCCATGCTGCTGCTTCCGCATTGTACCAGCTGACTGCTTGGCGCATGCGCAGAAGTCTCAAAGATGAGAGACGAACACAGTTGCTTAGCAACAAGCAGGCGTTGCTCTGGTAACGCTGATTGACAGCGCATGGCGTCTTGCTCATGTAATTTGGTGAGAACATTTTGATTTGAAAGTATCAGCACAAAGACTTTCGATCATCTGATTTAAAATGGCAATAGGCTAGACTAGATACTGAATAATTATGAATAGATTTGCATGTGGTGAAAAACTGACTAATTCCAACATTTATTACAATGGGCTCTAATGATGCTTCCAATTGTTTCTATGGAAACATTTATAGCTATGCAGAACCTGAAGATGCTTGTTACCATGGTAAAGATGCCATCATGTGTTGCCGTGGAGACTGCTCAGGTGAATGGAAGGCTACACAGAGAGTGAGGAGTGTTTACTCATACAGGTTGTTGGACTACTATAGTACTCCCATTCAGTTTGAATTGCTCTACCAGATTAAAATGTATCACTTGTAGTATAAAAATAGGTTTGAATAATTACAATACTGCCAAGAGTAGGACTACATAGTAAGCATATAAAGTAAAAACGAATAAAAAACGTGATGTCAAACAATTACATTTTATTAATTTTCCAACTCTTTATATAGAGGCAATGAGGTACAGAAAAACAAAGTGCTGAAACAAGGCTCCAAACATCACTAGATTACTTAAAGTAAGCAAATGTTCACTGCTACAATGACAGAGCCAAGAGCAGACCATTACAAGTCAAAAATATACAAAACACACAATGAACCATTGCTGAGGGTTCACTTTAATATAAAAAAACAACAAAATAATATTAACAAATCGGGCTGATGATGGTTTGTGCCGTTAATTAGCAGAATGTACTCTGGCATCGCAGTGGCCCTCTATGTAAGTGATTTCATCTAGATCTGTCCTCACAAGCTACCTGGGGTTTCCTGAGAATGAGCAGTGGCCTACTCTGCCATCATTGGTACAGTACTAGTCTGAGGGCTACAGTGTTGTATGTTACATGGCTTGAACACAATAGAGCAGTTGTAAAGGTCACTAGGGCTACACTTGGCCAAAAGTTTAATCGCTAGATCCTCTTTCCCTGCACCCTACCCGTAAGTGCTACAGCTAAAGGGATTGGATTCTTCACACATAGAGGGCCAAACAATGTTGGCTAATTTTCCAGCATAAAACCACATACATCCCTGCCAGCTACGAGAACAAAACAGTCGTTAGCTCACACGGTCAGAACATAGCTCTGTAGGAAAATATATAGTATAAAATTTTTAGTTAGCTTACAGAAAGAAACAAAAGTAGGCTTTGCAAAAGAATGTGACAAAGTGGCTAGTGTGATCAATGTTCATCGAGTGTTTTATTTTACTTTTTCATCTTTCTTTTATTAACAAAAATATATAAGCTTTTGAGTTTTCTTTGAAATGCCAGCAAGCTTGGCCCTGGTTCAGGAGGACACAGAGGCCAGCCACAAACTATAGGTGAGTTTTGACAGCTCTGCTTTGGGCAAAAAAGGGCTGTACAATAACAGGACTATATACAGATACATCCAATTGGATACTTTAGATATATGAAATGCTTCTAATGCTAACACAAAAATAAAGCAAGATCAAAATAATATACTAACAATATAGGCTAAGGGTTCATTTAGATGAATATTGTGAAATACAGAACTTTCAAATTTAGTTTTGTTTAATAAGCCAATTAATATTTTTGGCTGATTTCCATGGCACAAAAGAAAATGTTTACTTATGCATGAAATAGGATTTGCCTGCATGGCAATAAATATCAGAATGGTGCTACAAACAAGCCGTTTCTGCAGGCATGGTGCTGCTCTGAGGACATCCCACATGCAAAAACAATACACTTCAGTTTCAACAGAACAGACAGGCACAACCATTTTCCTAAAGGTGCAGAGATTATTGTCACATTCTTGTAACAATGAATGAAGTTTCAATAAGTTCTTCTATGATGTCACTTGCCTTGAATGTTAAATAGATAAGCCATTGACAAAGAAACAATGAAAATACTAACAAAGAGAAGGGAAAGGTAATTTTTTTACCACAAGATCCAAGTACTATCACCAGGATCTACATTTTTAAGGGAATCTTCAGGCCCATCGAATCCCAACCAATCATGAGAGTAGGGATAAATTATATCTAGAGGTATGAGAAGATGTTTAGTACAATCATAGTGTCTAAATATTACTTAGTTGATACCCACTGGAACCTACTGTTGCAATAAAATTTTAATGTATGTAATGTAATGAATATAAAACATAGGAACAAAATTGGCATTTGAAAACTCAGACATTGGATCAGACCATGCAGTACTGAAACAGCAAACCTGTAGCAAAGTTTTTGCTGTAAGTTACACAAAATCTTTTTAAACCATTTGTAGTTAGGGAACTTTAATTTTGCAAAGCTTTATTGGGAACCGTGGACATATGATCCACCCACACTTTCAGTCCCTTGCTTACCTGACTTATTATGGCCTTGTCAATCACTCAGAAGCTAATGTGCAAACCACAAAATCAAAAACAATCCACCCGCACCATTCCACCGTGATCAACCCAAAGTGAACATTAGTGTCTCTGTCTGAAGTGTGCGTGTGTGCAGTTCAGGAGCGCTTCAGCTGGGCCAGTCGGTGCAGGAGTTGGAGCCTCTTGGCCTTCAGCTGCTTCCTTTCTGCAGTCTTCTGCTTCTCACTGGCATGCAGCTGCTGGAGGTACTCTGTGGCCCGTGTCAGGATGGCCACTTTGGGGGTTTTGGGGCAGTCGGCTAACCCCGGGATCTCATCTCGCAGAGAGAGGAAACGAGAGCGCAGGTCATTGCGGCGCTTGCGCTCCAGGAAGTTGTGCGCCTTGCGTTTGTCCGTGTCCTCACAATCTGATGACTGGGGGCTAGAAAGATGGGAGGGGGGGAGGTGCTTTACAGGTGAGGTCTGGGAGGAGGACGAAGGAGAAGAAGGAGAGGTGGAGGAGGTAGGGAAAGAGGCGCTGAAATCAGGAGATTCCGACCTCACTGTGCCTGAGGTCACATGACACCTTCTACTGTCCAAATTCAAGGGGGTATGGCCGGGTAGAGGCTGCTGCTGACAGTTCTGAGCTCCATAAGCACCACTCTCTTGTCGGACCCTCTTCCTGGGGGGCTCAGGAGCAGGGGGCACAGAGTCCGGGGAGGGGGCAGCATAGTTGTGCTGCTGCTGATGAATCGAGATGTGAAAGCGCTTCATGCCAGGATCCAGGGGGTCTGCTCGCACTGTTATAGTCACAGGCTTTCGGCTGTTCACCAGACGACGAGGTTTTCGCTGCTGCTTGTGTTCCACTGTCACCACGTCAATCTCCTCTTCATCCTCTTCTTTGTCATTTTCATCATCTGAAAACATGACACAAAAGGTCATGAGTACAACAAGTCAATCTAATGGGAAATACATTTTATTTAATAACATCATTATGGAATAAAATTATGCCTTGTGCGTACATGAAATAAATTTTGGAAATTATGATAAGTTAATCGTTTAATACTTTTATCATTATAACATCTGTTAAGTCCTTTGAGAATAACTCTTGCATTCTTAATGGAGAAATAATGGCATGTGGAGTGACTTAACAAGTAAAGACATCTGGATACAGTGACCACAGTCTCCATCTCAAAGAATCTTATTAAAGGTGTCATCACAGTACTTTATTTGATATTAAAATTTGTATAATAATGACAGGATCATGTCCCGTGGACAGGTGAAACTAAACTTTTTCACTTATAGTGACATTAAATATACAGACCAAATTAATGAATGAATTACAAATTTATTTTGTAGATTAGTCAAATTAATAATTAAACCCCCAACTATTAAACATTCATGTCTACACAGTTATAACAAAAGATGACCATTAACATTACATGCTCTAACAATAATAGTGTGCCACTGAGTTCACCTTAGGCATTATCCTACATGCTCATTTTAAAACACACATAATGTTCCTAAAACGGTGTAAAATACTCTGGCCAAAGCTTTGCAGAATCCTATACAGCCCTCTAAATGGCTAATCCCACTCTATTCACATCCCGAGCTGGCTAGGGACAAATCCACCCACTGACACAATTGGCGCTGCAGCCTGTTGAGCGCAGGAATGCAGCAACAAGTTTCCCTTTGTAACATTCCACACACCATTATGCATGGCCCAACATCACATGATAGCCTACATACCAGACCAAATTATATGGCATTGAAAAAGTAGGTCTTAAGGTGACAAAAATATTCCCATGTATTATATATTAATATTCCTAGCCTAGAGTTTTGCTTTCCTTGTCATTCAACTGATTACATAAAGTTCCTGTGAAGTGGGCTCTGATTGAACTCGTGTCAGATCAGAGGTGTGGGATGGTGGGAAGAGGATATTGTTATCATAAGTCTGACTGGAGGAGCAGGGGAGAGCAGCTGGGCTGCTGGAGTCATGCCAAGCAGCAGATGTTTGAATGGGCGTGTCACTCCGGGAGCTTCAAGCATGTGTTGCATGCACCAAGGTAACGCAATGCAGTCATCATGTGCTACAAGCATATCGACATGGCAACTGCTCAATAAAATACTGGTGAACTAAGTTTAGAAAATCAAAAAGTCTAGATCTGAAGAGTCAGTTATAATCTGAAGTGATTTTTGGGTATTGCAAAAAGAAGTAGGAACGCAAAACTGTGATTTCTTAATTAATCTAATCATTAACAAATTGTCTTACTTTAAGTATACAGAGAACTTTTCTGTTATACCATATTTTAACTATACTTGGATATAGAATTGGTAAGTGTTGTGATTTGTCCATCTAAACAGTTAAAACAATAATGAGAGCATCTGAATTTTTTGAATGACCCACTGACCTGAAGATTCTGAATGTGACTCGGATCCAGATGACACTTGCTTCTTACTGACTCCACCCAGGGGAAAAGTGAACACGGCCCCTGGGTCAACGCAGTCCGCAGCCAGACCGTTGAGTGAGGGTGTGTCCCCAGCCCCGCACTGACCGCCTTTACTCACAGGAGATGGCACCACAACAGGTGCTCCGGACAGTTTGGCCTGCCGCTCTCCCGCCACCACCCTCTCCAGATGCTGTCCAGCAGAAAACCCACTCCACATACAGTCCTGGATGATGATGGAGCTCAGGTTCCCAAAAGTCTCTGTGGAGGTGGCAACTCTGCAAGGCGTGTCCTGCTGCTCGTCATCCTGCCCTAAGAACTGAGAGACCCATTCCAGTTTGTCGCCCAGAGAAGGGTAAAGCATTCCAACCTTAGCCGACCCCTCCACTGCCCTTATGGGGGACATGGGTGGGGTAGGTACCAGTTCAAATTTCTTCCATATGTCCTCACTGGGAGCAGTGGACTTGAAGAAATCCTCATCTGGGTCATGGTCATCATAGAAGTAGTGCTGGTAGTGGTCCAGATGGTCCATGTCCCAGTAGTCATAGCGGGGCGCGGTGGAGCTGATGCCCGGCATGAGGGAGTCTGAGGCAGGCAGGGGGTCACTCCCTGTTCCTGAAGTCTGCAAATCATCACACAGGTATATAATTAAAAGGTCACATGAACTGAGGATGGAATGTAAAAACATATCCTTCAAACTATATATTTTATTAAAATAGGCTATTATGATTGACTATATAAAACTGATAAAACAGCTTATGAGGGTTCTGTTTAGAAGTGAAGGAATTTGGGTAAAGCAATGCAATGACCATGAGTAACAATAAAGAAAAAGACAGCATGAAATTATATAAATATGTATATGTCAAAAGCCTAATGCTTGCAGACCACATCTGTAGGCTACTCTTACATATAGTTTGAAGCGAAAGCTATTATTGCATACTTCGCTCCCACTGTCTGCAGACTCCAATGCGCACGAGAACATCGTGTCTCTTGTACAAATAAGTGCTCAGCGGTACTTCATATCCTTCCCTAAAGTCTTCCCAGCCTTAGTTAAACTTAAACTACCGCGTTTTTGTTGCCGCTGAGAAGTTCAAGTTTCGCAAGGGTTTCATTACATAACAGTGTTTTAGTAGTGTACTGTATCAGGCGGGCAAACAGGGAGGAGGAGATGGGAGGGGAAAGGCGGGTTAACTCGCTGGCTGCTCAGCTGATAGTACGCTCATCTAATTAGATAGAAAGTAGATCGTTGAGAGACTGAACTTATTGTTGTCAGCTTAAGCAATTGGTGCCGACAAGTTGTGTGTCTGCGATCTCGCCTTCCACTACTAAGCGCAAAAGAAATTCAACCGCGACTAAAAAGTGTTAAATAGGCTAGACGCATCAGTGCAAAACATGCATGCGCGCAACGGTGAGCTACTGTCATAAAACACTTGTCCCATTTCAGAAAGTCGTACTCTTACCTGGAAGTGGTAGAAAACCTGTCTGCGTCCTCATAGATCCGCTGTGAGAAAAAAATAAAAAATAAAGTGTCCAAATTACACCAGCGCTGTTTCAGCAGTGCGCAGAACGTTACGTTCGTTTGGGTGTGAATACAGGATCTTCTCTGGTTGTCAATAAACGAGTAGTCCGTGTGATCGCAGTCACCCCGCTTCTAAACACGAGAGGATGGATGGGGCTTCCACTATCTAAGCAGACTACTGCACTGTATGAGCCGCTGGACAGAGTTGGCTGTTATGCATAAAAGGCGGGCCGTAGTAGGGGAGCCACGCCTGCCGTTTAAAGAGCCAGAGCGCGCAAACAGACAGCTGCTACACGGCTTATGTGATAGATTTTCATAAGGCAACACTGTGCTCTTGTGCAACAGATATTCAAACATATTTTCAAAGCCTACTTATATCACCCCTCTTTTGTTAAGTAGGCTACATGTTTGTATTTGAACATACAAGCCAACAGCAAAATAGCTAATAGAAAAGCTAATGGAAACACAACAAAATTAACAATATTACAAGAAATCATGATAAAATGTCTAGAAAACAAGTAGGCCTATCATATTTATTTATTTACTAGCTCTAAATAAATATTTTATAACAAATGGGCCTAATTGGACTTTTGCAGGATATTCTAATGTTTTGACAAAACGTGTAGTCTAATTGGTTTGCTTTACCTGTTCAAATCCTGTCCAAACCATCTTGATTTTTATGTTTGGCTTCTGTTCAAAAGTAAAACACAATTTATTGTATGCCTAGATTACATAACCCCATTAGTGTGTTTAAAGTGTGATCGTATATCCACAGTTATTCCTGGAGCAATTATGTGTCAGCGCTATCAAATACCAGGCATGCATCTCATAGACCTGGGATCAATAAGCAGCCATGATGTGGTGCTGCTCTGAGCCTGGTTGAGTCAATACAAAAACGATGATCTGTCTACACTGTCATCCCTGTGTGTATAGGCCCAACAGCCACACACTCACCACTGCTGACAATGCATCCCTGCATTGCCTTTTAAGACCTCACTCCAAAAATATGCTTGAGTAATTTAAAAACATCCAGGGGCACTGACATTTGAGAGAAGACTAACTGCTAAATAGAAAGATAGGATATTTCTGCTGCAATAACTAGCCTTGTGATATGTTCAATTGCAATATACTAAGCAGCCAACCTACTAGCCCAAGAAAATAAAAAGAAGTGACAATGTCCATTTGGCCAAAGTATAAGATCAGTGCTGAACTGGTGATGCGTAAAGTCAACCTGGCTGACAAGATAAGGTAGCTCAAATTGTTGTAAATGTCATAATGTTATTGAATGCACTAACTTTTAAGTTTCTTCACAGCACAATGCAGACAGCGTGAAATTTGGTCCCTGTCATCTCCATGAGCCCCTCCACTCCCGATCTTGACTGTCACTCATTCGCTCGCCTCACTCTCTCATCAAGTCTCAGATGTGCTGCCTCCCTCCTAAGCCTTTATCCCCAGTCGCCCCTGATCATACAAATCTTGACCTGACATGAAATGCATAGACTTTAGGGTGAGATGCTGAATTTCCCATGGGAGATGTTACAAAGACACTGATTGGGTGCATTGGTTTTCTTTAATACTGACATTACAACTATCTCTGTTTTTGTACTGTGTGCTTTTATTCTTTTTTTCTTGGTTCTTCTTTGAAAGTCCTAATCTTCAAGCGCTGCTTTGAATGAGTGATCATAAGTGAATGGGAACAAAGATATGCCATACTTCCAAGTGAAATGCCTTCAGAAAACACATCTGTGGATGACAAAAAAAATGCCTGAATTATTTATGTGTACAAACAACTAGATGATGTTTAAAGCATAGTTTAACCACAAGTCTATTTGAAAGAGGAGAAATAAAACCTCTCTATTACAGGTTTATTTGAAAAGTGCATTTTATTATTGATTTGTCTGAACTCCATAATTGTAGCCACTGTCTTTTGGAAAATTGTGTCTGTAACAAATGTCCTTGCTTTCTTTTTGGAATGGAAATTGCAGCTAGTGTACCATACAACAGTGTCTGAGATAATAAATAAACACATTACTACATGTCTTAATTGTGAAAATCGTTTCTAAGCAATTTATAACGGACCCAAAGCTATTCCTGTTCCCTATTGTTAGCTTATATTAAAAGAAACCATTCATATACAAAATGTCAAAAATGTTTATAAAGCTGGAGCATTTTCTTACAAGAACTCATAGAGCTACTGTGAGCGGATGCAACAGATGTCAACTCAACTCCCATAATTTGGAGAATATAAAGGGATAATGTATGATCCAAATGGCAAACAGGACCTACTTAGAAATATGTGGAAAACATTTACTTTATGTATATTTTATTTTGGGATGTGAAATTCTGTGTCTCTGTGTTTATTGTTTATTTGTTTTTGAATGGGGACAGTTTTTGTGTGCTGTGTTTATTAAATGGTTAGAGCTATATTTATATTTTCTACTTTCAAGGAACCATTCACCCATTTGCACACTTATGATTCCCATAAGGCTCCAGACACAGAGCAAATATTATTCCTTTAAACCACACAATACAGCAGATCGGCAATCACACTTAAGGCAATGTGCTATGAAAGGAAAATAAGATTGCTTCATGCTTTATGCTAAAATGGCATAATTTTAAAAGGTGACATTTTTACATCTTACATAACACAATATTTGAAAATGTCAACGTCTAAAATGCATGAAGGTGATATGGCAAAGAGGAGAAGAGACACCCTGTCCACTTGGGGTCACTGTTCACATGATCATGCCCCCGCCCCCTCCACCTGCGACCTTCTATGGGACTAATCAATGGACATGTCGTCTGGTGGGAACCATCCGCGTGTCTGGGTGTATGGGAGAGGAAAGGAATAACAGCTGCACTGAACTGGACACAGGGGCTGCACATAGAAGGTCATTACAGTAATTCAGCTTTTAATGTGTCTAACCTTTTGACCTAAATATGTCCCTGTATGTGTGGACAAATAAGTGGCCCAAGAGCCAATGGTGGACCTCAGAACATTATTTTATAGTACTTGTCTGGCACTTGTTACTGAGGGAAAACACAGAGAATTATAGCTCATAGAAATTAGGTTACATCCGTGTAAGTCAATATGGTTATTTCATGAAAGTGTTCTACTTTACACCTCTATTTACCAAAACCAACTGAATAATGTAAAGGTAGTTTAAAGGTTCATTGAGTAACTTTTCTGGTACAGGTAGAGTAATTTGATTGGAATGTTCCACAGTAAGGCATTAAACTTATACTGGAAAACATTCAAGGCAAAACCACAACACTTAGTAACAAGTAGTATAGTACACCACTTGCACACAATTGAAATCACAGCCCCTAATTTCAATCCAGTTTGTACTATTCAACTAGCTTTACACGTACATTACAAGCAAGAAAAAAAAAACTTTAAGTGAGTGAGATAGTGAGAAACTGATGAACTGAATCTTTTAGAAAACAGAAGAAAATATTATATGAACAATTACTTAAATAAGCATATGAAAACAAACACTATACCATGGTGACCCATAGACAAGGTTGTAAAGTGTCCTCATGAGTGTAAACCATGTCCCTAACTTGTAGCACTTTATTGACATGCTGTTATTCCTCTTCTGTTTTCATTGGCTTTTATTGCATTCTGGGTAGAAATCAATTGAGGAACAGGCTGTCAGCACAGACTGTACTCCATAGAGAGAGGGGGAGAGAGAGGGAGAGAGGTGGTGAGTGTGAAAATTGTTGTTTCACAGAATAACAAGAGGAAAAAGAGGAAATTGGCTCTTATTATGTAGTATAACTGATAAAGCAGGTATTTTATATAATGCCATTTAAGATGAATAAGAGCAAGTTCTATATGGGAAGTCATTCCAAATGCTACTGCTATTAATACATGTTGTATTTTTACTTTTTATTTTAGGTCATATTTTCTTGTCAGTGAAAACATGCCTATAGATGCAGAAGAGGAAGATGGAGATTTGATGGGGGAGTAGACAGCCGTTCACAGGAACAGGCTTGAAGAAAATTACATAACTCATATTTGGCTTTATTAGGCATTCTTGGAGCATTGCATACACTGGCACACATGTATGCACTGGCCATTTTAATAGGTACACAAGGTACCAATGGAGTAATGCATGTAGTCCCACCACTTCACCATTTCTCTTTAATGGCACTATGTAACTTTTCTGGAAGAAGGTCAGCCACCTGCTTGTCTCCATGGAGATGTTACTGCTTTAAATGTTCCACAGCATGACCTTAAATTTGCATAAAGACAACGTTACATGTAAAATCTACATGGAGAGGTGACAGCACTCACAGTGAGGATATATGTATTTAGGCTTTAAAATCCTGTAATATGTTTAATGAAATGCTTCGAAACATTCCAGGCAAAGCGAAGACATATTCATGGAGAAAAGCCTACGATGTTACAGAGAAGTTACATTCCATTAACCTTTTAGGACTGAGTTTCAAACAAGATATAACTCCAACCTTGGGTGTACCTAACAAAATGACCTCAGATTGTTCATAGACACACCGCCACATGCACTATTCCACTCTTAGGTATACAGCTATAGTAAACAAATGCTACACTCCTCCGCTAGCATTTCCCCTGATATATCACCTGCTGTTTTTTGTTTTTCATATTGCATAAGCGTCTGGGAAAATATTTAGTGCGCCTCTGTGGGCTAGAGGCATATGTCTTGCTTATTTTTATTCACAGCTATTGAGGAATTGTGCAAGGCGTTTATTAATATCACACAAAGAGGATGATGTTATTAAGGAGAATGAATGCACTGAGATTTAAAAAATGAGGGATTATTAGATTATAACCTTAAAAAAGACATGCCATGACAAATGGGATTAGATGTATAGAAAGATGATTAACTAAATCCATTATACAAGTACAATAATGCAAAACGTTAAAATGCCAGGTACCGTTGCACAATGTTATGTTTGACTTCAATAAAGATACTGTGTTTTCAAGATTATGTTGGCTTCAATAATAGATAGGCCTATATACATTTCAACTGTTTAACATATCGTATTAGAAGACTATAGAGCAATGTTGCCAGTCTGACTTGAGACGCACTTTATTTTATTATGGAGCATATTTTACTGAACCTTCTCTACTGAATCTTTACTACTACCACAATCTATTTCTGCCAACAGACCTGAACTGTATGCAAGATTTTAGTTTTAAATGTCATAAATCTGACCTATCCTATGTGTTCCCAGATAAGAGGGAGCCATTTTCAAATTAAATATAGCTTTTAAATGTTCTGCTGATTTATTCTTCATTACAAAAACATTGGGCATGTTCAATTTATTTATCCTATAATTTGGTGTTTTTCAAACAGAAAGCAGAATGGGCCTAATTTGGGTTGCCATTTTAAATGCTGAAATCCAGTTGGTTTAAACATAAAAGGACTCTCAGTGCCTGCAAGTGCAGCCTCTGCAGCTCCCTGAGTGACTCCTGGAGGTTCTGAGCTTTCACATGAAGCAATGCCTGTCCGTATACTAACAATGAGGAAAAACATGTACATGTCCTCTATATGCACGATAGGCACTATAACCCAGGTTCAGATGTGATTAGTTCAGTTGTGACTCTTTTAAAACAGTGCAGCAGGTACAGTTCCTTTAAGGCAAACACTTGGAGCTATAAATAACCTCTTTGTGACCCATTCATTCAGTAATTGAGAGTCACTAAGCAACTAGGTTTTTTCAGTTTTCAGCTATTGAAATTAATACATCTCCATTAAAGGATGTTTTCATTTTAGAAACAAATCAATCATTTCAAAAGTAATAAGATATTACCTTTGAAATGATTATTGTATTTTCTTATTTTATTGTATTTTCTTATGTCATACTGTTGTTTTTGTCTATTGTTTATTATGATTCTTAATTGTTTTACTAGTTTTTATTTTCATAATAATGACTGGAGCTAAATAGAGAATATTTCACTTTCATGTAAATTTAGGTGCAGCACTTTGGACACTGTTATATATTTATGAAATGTGCTATATAAAGTGAACTTGGACTTTCTGTATTTTGAACAAGTGTGTGTTATGCATCATGTAATTTTAAATCATGTGTGCCATTTTCTGTAGTTACATGACTCCCTCACCTGCTGTGCCCTCAGCTGCACATCAGAACATAGTGTAACAAGAGGCAGTGAGACACCTAGTGGTGAGAACAGCCTTCAAATCTACTTTACATAGAAAATGCTGTTGAGCACTTTATAGTTTGCCCACTTTGATTGTACAGAATGAGGTGAAATGTTACCAAAGATGCAGAATGTTAAGGTAAATATTTTCATTTTCACTGTACAAATAGAATGTTCAGACAAAGAAGCCTTGAGCATGCAGCTCTAACAAGGATAAAGAAAAGCTCACGTGGCTTTTGAATGCAGAGGAGAGGTAACCTTGATGAGTTGATCCAGAACAGTTTGCGGAGGATTGCAGTTACAGAGGCAAAGAGATGTGGCTAATCTGCTGCAGTGGAGAAAAATACAGGAACTATGTCTGAAGAACATCAAGCTAAACTGACTAAAGATTATCAATACATATAATCAATAATTAATAATATATTCAATAAAGACCTTGCAAATAATTTCCAATGTATTTTGTCACATTTTAAACAGACCTTGGAGGCAGTCTGATTTAACCCTATTACTCCACGTACAAATTCTTATGGCTCAAGCATCAATAAATTTAAATATTTTTGTACTTACTGGACTATTGGGGCTCAGTATGCTGAAA